TCTTTAGAGGTGTTTTCTTTCTCCGACACCTGTTTGGCTTGGTCTTTGCTCTTTTGCTGACTTCTGCAGGTGCTATCCGAGTGTGTTGTACTTTTGTGATAGTTACACCACTTCCTCTCGCTCTTAGCAGGGCACTCTCTGACTAAATGCCCTCTTTTCCCGCAGCCATAACATGTCATTGTTTGCGAAGGAAACTCAGCTTTCATTACCTGATCAACTTTCGGTTTGGTGTTGAGCTTTTCCGTTTCTTCGAAGCTCCTCAACATGCTCTTAAGCTTCGCGAACTTTATCTCACTTGCACTTTGGGTCACATGTATCGAGAACGGTTTATATGAATCAGGCAGCCCCTTTAAGATCATAGCAATTATTAGCCCATCGCTTAACGTTTCTTTGGCGTTCTTAAGCGCTGTTATTGCTTTCTCGGCTCTTATTAAGTAATCTGTGACTGTCTCGTGAAGTGCTTTTTCAAGTGACGTTAGCTCAGTGTAGAGTGTGATGATTCTTGGTTTGCCTTGATTTGCATAATGGTCTCGGAGTATTTGTAAAGCCTTTCGGCCATCGTCGGTAGCATCCCTCATTACCAATGACAGACTGGTGTCGTCCAAACACTGTATAAGCTCGGCGTAGCATTCTTCGTTCTTTGTTGCGTCAGCCTCTTCTTCAGACGGCAGGATAGTATCCTTTAGTTTTAATAACCTCATGTGCGCGAGGAATTTCGCTTCCCACAGTTCGTAATTGCTTTCGTTTCCATCGAAAGTCAACCTTGACCAGCGTGATTCTCTGCTGGGCCCATAACCTGTTGAAGCCATGACTTTAGAACACCGTATTTGTAATGAAATCACTCTTTATTTTCACGTTTATTACAAATGTAGTTTTGTACAGTAAGTTACTTTCACGAGGAAGTTCAACTAACAACACAACAATCCCATCATGCATTTGTCTCTCAGTATTACGTCATACTAATATTTGGATAACATACAGTTTTATATTGAACTCAATAATATATAGCACGTAGATATTTGCAGAATAACTCATGGACGACACAATATCGCCGCACTGCCTCATCTTCCGATTATTTTCAACACTCCAGGCAGAATTTAATTTTGAAGATTGCATAAAATGGAAATAACAAATAAAGTCGAGGTTGTTGTAGTTGTGTGGCGTCTGGAAAATAAAGTTTCTCAATTTTAGTTATAATACCCTTATGTGATACTCCCATATTATATCCATGATTTTCGAGGATCTATAATTGTTTCCAAATTAGGATCTATTCAGTATTCATTAGCACTATAAATAAAAGCCTTGCCCTGGTCAACACCGCAGTTCTGGGAAAACATTGTTTCAAATTCAGAGCAATAAACAATAATAATCCCTGCTAATAATATAGCTCGAACACTACTCACTAGTTCTTATTGTCCTAACGCTCCATTAATAGTAATAGTGATTAAATTGAACTTATAGCCTTAGCTTCTGTAAGTTGCCATCTGTTGTCTTCAAAAATAAATCCTCGTTTAATATAAATTTGCCAGTCTGGAAATAAGAAAGAGAAAACTCGGGGCTTTTCGTCGTCAACGAGACTCGACGATAATTATAAGAAGAAATAAGGGAAGAACGCTGGTTTTATAACAAAGCTATACAAGGCCGATCACGTGAAGAAAATCAACCAATCATATCATATACGAGAACAAAATCAAAACAGTCGTCATGCATGGTCATAACCATTCTCATAACCTGGCCATACGAAGGTGGGCCTATACTTCCTTCATGTCATGCCTATTATTTTGTTCCAACTCGAGCGATCCATGCCAAGAGATTTTCGACTGGATTGGGGAAACATACTCTACATATAATCTTAAATAACCCTGCTCCAAGGGCGTATACCATACGGGACGAGGGGTGTGGTGGTGTGGGGAGTTTAGAAACTCGTCTGTAAAACGGTGATTATGTAGGAAAAAACGCGACTTTTAAGAAAATTGATTGGAAATGGTCGGTAAATTGTTTGTAGAATTGACTGCTGGTCGGTAAAGCGAAGAGGCTGTGGAGGATCCCGCTGCTCGAAATTATCTCGGTACGCCGCTTAGTTTATCCACATAAAAATATATACATAGTATTTACGTATACTTGCATAGTGCAGTATTTCTGGACCAGTGTAAAATATACTACCACTGTAATAATTGTTATTAATATTTGGTGAATGTGTAATCATGGATATAAAAATACAAATCTTTAACTTTAATTCAATAGCTCATTATTATTCATTAGACAAATAAGCTAATCGGCTTTCTTCATTTATTCACGTGTATGCATTTTATACGTGGTAAAATCTTAAGAGAGGATGTCCACAAAAATCAAACATAAGGCGGCCACGACGGGAAAATCGATTTTGCTCAAATTTTGCCCAGATATACCTTATTATATCGGAAAATGCACCATATATTTTTTTAGGTCAAATGCTTTTTTAACTTTGAGAAAATGCCGTTTTAACACGCGACCACCCTAAATCGCCGTTTTGTCTGGGAAAATATGCGCTGAGTTTACCGACAAATTTCACGACGACAACCGTTTATAATCGATCTAAAACCCTAAAAATCTTGTTTTCGGTTATTCAAAGAACCGGGTACGTGACTTACAGGACATCTGAGTTACTTTTAGGAATAGAAATAATCGTAGTTTTGGAGCACACTATCTTACCTCATTTACGATACCCTCTTAACAAAACCGATTTTCACCATGGGATAAAGCTCCAAATCGATCATGCTTCTACTAGTTGGCTCTTTAATAAACAAGCTTTCAATTGACGTAAATACTTCTTTGGGCAAATGAATACGCGATAAACGGCAGCGCGTTGAAATCGTCCGTTTTTGACGTCTTGCAAGTCAAACGCTGTTAATTTACATACCGTCGAAGTAAACAATTTAATCAAGTATTTTAAGTATTTTACCTTTTGATAAGAAGATATATTCTTGAATGGAGACTTTTTGCCTTGCTAAGTTTAAAATTGGTCCAGAAATCCCGATATATTTGTGAAATATCATCATATACAGGTATTTTGAGATATTGTTGTCAGTTGCATGATAACTTCAGATCACTGTTCAATATTGTCTACTTTTAATAGCGCTAACATACAAAGCGATGAGCTGTTTAGGGATTATATTTGTTACTAAATTTACCAAAATAATTAGAACTACAACTGCTGTTTTCAGAGGTATTGTTCCATTTTGTCCATATTATTAAATTAATGTACCAGTTATGTATCGACTATAATGTTTACGAAGACGTAAGTTAATTATTAAGCAGGTGTTAGCGTGCGTGACATGAAATGAACGTTTATAATGTTTATCATTCATCATGATTAGGGACGCGAAACTCGTCTTAGACGGAAACTCGTCTGTGAAAACCCGCCTGAATATGAATTTAGGGACGGATAATTTCGAATTTAAGACGAGTTTCCCGTCTAATACGAGTTTCCCGTCTCTAATATGAATTCGGCTAATGTGTGTTAAAACTGCAAGATCATTAAATCTCATTAAAATCCCACAGACCACAACGATTATACGTATAACGTATTGATTGTTTCCTGACGATAGTGGACGCGTACGCATGCATGTTGCGTAAAAACCTCCAAAATACAAAAGAATATTGTTTGATGAGTATATAAACAAGTTATAAGCCCCGGTATCGGTTTTTATTAAACTGTAAAGTTTCAGTTTAATAAAAACCTCTCCCTTGGCTTTTAACCGACATATAAATCATTGGATAAAAGGCGGAAAGGAAGATAAAATAAATCACACCTATAATATGAAACTACACAATCTTATTCAGTTGCTCGATAATTGTAACTATAAAATTCAATATCCATACAAAATGAATTCTCGAACTCATAAATAAATGACGTTCGCCTTAAATAGGTAATGAAACGATTATAATTGCTGCCGAGCGTAGCGGGCAGCACACTATTCTTGACACGCGGTGGTTTCTCCAGAGTCCACTCGACCCAGTCTTTCGCGCGAGTTATGTATTGTCGAGATCGAGATCTTGTGTCTGTCTGTAAAGATGTTTGTCGTAATCCGGGGGGAATAATTAAGCATCAGGAACGTTTGTTAAATGAGGGGAGCGGTCAAGCTTTTAAATACGGATGCAAGACAGCAAGAGATCAAAAATATTCGGAAACATTCAGGTAAGTTCGGCTCTATTTTTTTCTTCTTATATACATCAAGGCAATGACCTTTTTAGCGTTCAATCTAGAGGCAAACAATGTGCTTTTATGAGTTTATCAGCACTTTTAACTGCCCAAAATATACCACTGATCGATTGGTCAAAAACAACATTTAATCGTCTTATTTAATACAAGGAGACAAAATGTACTTGCAAGCTCTGGATAATGGCTTTGTTGTCTTAGAAACTGCCCAAAATTTATAAATAATGTCTTATTACAAGGAGACAAAATGTACTTGCAAGCTTTGAATGATTGCTTTGTTGTCTTAGAACCTGCTGTCGAATTCTTATCTGTCGATAATTTACCTAAACTTGTCAGTGTTTCAATTTGTATACAAACATGTTTCTTACAAGATATGTGATTCTGTGATCGACACAAGTAATATACCACATGAAGTGTACTAAACTTGCCAGTGTTTCAAGTTGTATACTATAATATAGTTAATAAGCTCATTGTTGTTATGTTGCCTTGGCGCGCAGGTGGACCGCGTGCGGGGTCTGAGACTAAGACTTTTTGGCGCCAATAGATATAGTTTTATTAGTTAGTTTTGCATGTGCATATATACGAGAGGTTATCAATAAAAGTGTTTAATTAACTACAACATTACATCTGGCGACGAGGAAACACGATCGAAACCCGCAACGATCACACAAGCATACAAGAAGCGAACCAGCCGAAGTATACCCAAAACAACACACTGTCAAGAGTATAGACAACGTACCGCGATAAGACAAGACAAGTAATATATATCGCAGAATTCTAGTATTTATAACTCACCTCAACCATGGCTTCGCTCCCAGATTTTCCACCGTTTAATGTACACGAGGACTCTAATGCTGGCCCAAGATGGAAAAAGTGGCTCACGAGATTCGAACGGCTACTTTGCGGACTTAACATCACAGCTGATAAAAGAAAAACAGCTTTGCTCTTGCACTACGCTGGCCCTGATGTCGATGATATCTACGATACTCTGCCGACTAGCAGCAACGAAGACTACAAAACCGTAGTGGAAAAGCTCAACCAGTACTTCTCACCTCAAACTAATGTGGCTTTCGAAGTTTTTAATTAACTTCCGCCAAGCGAAACAGAAACCCGACGAGTCTCTTGATTCTTATCATACTCGATTACGCCATCTTTCTCAAACGTGCGAATTTAGCGACCCCGCTAAAGAGATCAACGACCATATTATTTTGACCTGTACGTCCAACTCTTTACGCCGACGAGCCCTTCGTGACAATCTTGATCTACCGAACCTGATGAAGACCGGCAGAGCCATCGAACTAAGCGAAAAACAAGCCAGCCAAGTCGAGCAACAAGAATTCTCAAGCGTAAATTCAGTTCGTCACGGAAATATACAACAGCCAAATACGGAAGCCACAGACCCCCCAAGATCGCGTTTTGAGAACCAACGATTACGTAATTTCAGAGGCGCTGAGCAATCTCGTGCCAGAGAAACCTGTGGAAACTGCGGTGGGACATACCCGCATATCAGAGTTTGCCCAGCAAGAGGCAAGGACTGCAAATCTTGTGGGAAAATCGGACATTTTGCCCGGGTTTGCCGCACCAAACCCCCATCATCACAGCATGTAAAGAATGTCACCCATACCCGCCCCCAGTCTCCACCCGATTCTGACTCCGAACCAGACTATGCTTTCACAATCGCAAATCTCTCTGGAACACCCGCATCACCAAAGTGCCATGTAAACATTGCAGGGCACAGCGTATCCGTCATGATAGACTCTGGCGCTTCTGTCAATATCCTCGATGACGCCACCTTTAACAAAATTACCCGCAACAAAGGAATCAGTCTTGAACAAACAAACCACAAAATTTATTCCTATGGATCACTACGTCCACTACCACTAAAAGGAGTTATCAAAACCAACATTTCCACTGATTCTAAGCACCTTTCTGCCCAATTCCATGTAGTTCACGGGAACTCTGGAAATCTGCTAAGCTACACCACCGCCTGCCAACTCAACTTGCTCAAAGTTACGATCAACAGCACTACCCATCACATACCATCAACTAATCAGTATCCCCCAGAGTTCGAATGCCTCTTCTCTGGCATTGGAAAGCTAACTGGTAAAACTGGTAAACTGCACATTGATCCTGATGTTTCCCCCAAACAACCACCCTCCACCTGAGCCACTCAAGATGACCCAGCTGCCATCCGCACCTTGGAAAGAAGTTGCAATGGATTTCCTGGGCCCTTTTCCAACCGGCGAATACCTTCTAGTCGTAATCGATGCGTTTAGTCGGTTCCCCGAAGTTGAAGTACTCACCACGGTTTCCGCAAAAGCTGTCCTTCCAAAGTTGGATGCAATATTTTCAAGAGCAAGGCCTTCCAGAAGTTCTGAAAAGCGACAATGGCCCACCATTTAACGGTGCCGAGTTTGAGTCATACGCCAAGCACTGCGGTTTTACTCACCGCAAGATCACGCCATACTGGCCTCAAGCAAATGGAGAGGCCGAGCGGTTTATGCGCACACTACAGAAATGTATTCGGGCTGCAATCATCGAGAAGAAAAACTGGAAGCAAGCGATGAACCAGTTTCTCCTCAACTACAGGGCAACCCCCCATTCCACTACTAACATATCCCCCTCCGAAAGCCTCAACAACAGGAAGATAAAGACAATGTTACCGGAGATGCCCTCTGGTTCAAAACCAGAACAGACAGCAATGGCTGAATATGATGCTCGGAAGAAAGAACAAATGAAATCTTGCGCAGACAACCGTCGGGGTGCCAAAGAAAGTTGCATCAAACCAGGTGACACCGTCCTTCTGAAACAGCCGAAGGAAAACAAATTCAGTGCTCCATACAACCCTCAACCTTTTGTCGTAGAAAAGAAAAAGGGAACAATGGTCACTGCCAAGAATGATTCAAAGGTTGTCACACGAAACTCCTCGCAATTCAAGGTGATCTCAACCAGGTCAGCCAAACACAATGACAAGGAAGTTGAACCAAAGGTTCCAAGACCATCAAACCCCCAAGAACAAAAAACAGTTCAACAAAGACCGAAACGGAACGTAAGACAGCCAGCAAGGTTCGCGGACTATGTAAACTATGAACCAATGTGAACCAAATGACAGTTCGGACAATATCACTGTCCACAGCATATTAGTCAAAGGAACAGTGACTCGGACACGTTAATGTTTATATTAATAGATGGAACTATCATCCGACAAAGGGAGGGATATAATATAGTTAATAAGCTCATTGTTGTTATGTTGCCTTGGCGCGCAGGTGGACCGCGTGCGGGGTCTGAGACTAAGACTTTTTGGCGCCAATAGATATAGTTTTATTAGTTAGTTTTGCATGTGCATATATACGAGAGGTTATCAATAAAAGTGTTTAACTACAACATTACATATACAAACATGTTTCTTACAAGATATGTGATTCTGTGATCGACACAAGTAATATACCACATGTAGTGCATGCAAAAACAACTACAACACCTGTGAATCCTTTTGATACACAAAATAATGATACTATAAACAGTCTGCCCATGGTGGTAGGACAAAATAATAGCATTCTATACCCATTGTAGTAGAGTCCATTGAGGCAAAAAATATCATTGATCTGCCCATTGTGGTCGAGCCCATTCAAGGCAAAAACTATAGATCTGCCCATTGTGCCAATGTGGTAGAGCCCATTGAGGCAAAAACTATAGATCTGCCCATTGTGGTAGAGCCCATTAAGACAAAAACTATAGATCTGTCCATTGTGGTATCTAGAGCCCATTGAGGCAAAAACTATTGATCTGCCTGTGGTAGAGCCCATTGAGGCACCAACTATCAGCGATCTGCCCATTGCGATGGAGCCCATTGAGGCACCAACTATCAGACTAGGGGTCAACCAGGGGGGGGGGGTCGTGGTATCCTAAATAGCTGATAAATATGGATCAAAATACCTATTATTATGGTCAAAATGTTACATAATACCTAAAGCAATCAGAAGCTGTATACCAGACCTAATACCCAAAATTAGTCATAACATTTAAAGTAAATATACAGTATACTCCAATTAAATACCATTAGATCCTATATACACAAAACCCTATGGCCGACCCTACAGACTGCTCTGCCCATTGTGGTGGAGCCTATTGAGGCACCAACTATCAGTGATCTGCCATTATGTGCAAAGGCGATGAGTTTATAGTGTTTCATTTCTAGATGTTTATAGCTTTAAACAAATGTGGAATGTTGCTAAATCAGGTTTAATATTAAAGATTCCTAGAGCAGCCTAGTGTGGATTATTGTCTGCACATATATTGACTTACCAACAATTACATGTAATATTACTAACATTTTAACTGACTTTTGTATAAGATCTGAGATATGTCCATTGTTAGCATAATATGAAATAATTCTAGTGGCCTACATATGGCTGTGTCACTACGACAATGCTCACAATTTCTTTATTATATATTTTTTCAGTTCTGACTGAGTACAATCTTAATCATGTCAATGAATGGTGTCATCTGAAGCATATTAAACAGAAATGTCAACAAATACATTTTGTCTACCCATCGGCAGATTGTTCGGTTGGTCTGTGATAGGGGAAGCCATGAAGGTGGCATAATGTAAAACGATAATTGGAACAAAAACCGACTTTATAGTATTTTTATATAAACATTTTTCTGTATTCAGTGGCAAGCTCACACATGTGATCACCAAGTTTGTACAGGGCCCGCGGAGCGTATTAGAGAGTGGGGGGGGGGCTAAAGGGTGAGGTTTAATTAATTTAGAAAGTTTCATTTAGATTTCTATTTTAATAATTTTGGCTGTCAAAAAAAGTGGGGGGGGGGCTAAAGCCCCCCCAGCCCCCCCGTCTCCGCGGTCCCTGTTGTACTGTACTTTGTAGTGCACTTTTTATAAGATGAGATGTAAGATACAATCAGGGACGCCGGAACTGGGGGGGCAGGAAGGGCAGCCGCCCCCGTTGCCCTTTACCAGGAGGTGCAAGGGGGGCAAAGGTGTCCTTTCAATTTAAAGGATTGCCTTGGCAAAATAGCGAATTGTCAGAAATGTTAGTGGAATTCTTTTACGAATTTTGCTTCAGAAAACGCAAGAATTGCAGTCATCGAGCTTCAAGAATAGCACAATCGCCTGCGGAGAACCCCCTCACACCCCTATCATCCAATCAATAGAAAACATGATTAGGCGAAGTTCAACTCCCGATGTTTTGCAAATTAACATCTCTTAGTACATATCAATTCAAAAGTGCCCTTTCACGAAAATCTGCCCCCCTTGCTTTCACATTGTTCCGGCGTCCCTGGATACAATTGTAGAAGGTAATTGATGTAGAACATGTGTAAGACATTAAATCATAGATACAGTGAAAAAGACACTTTTTGGTTGTAGTACATCCTGCATGTACATATCGGCAGCATTTTGCTTGCGATAGTAACTCCTAGTGTAATCCATGCATAAGTCTCATAAATAATTCATACAAGTTCCTTTCTATATAGTGTTAGTTCAGCATCTTTTGCTGTCCAGCGTGCATGTACTGATTGAAGACAGCCTTGCAGCCAACAGTAATTGTATCCATCCCCCCCCCCTTTCACCGTATGGTTTATTGGTACGCATGTAACATGCTTTGCTAAAGGTTCAATCTTTGCATATTTGGTATTGAGGTTATTTCGCTGGCCTCAGAATGACAAAACGTAACAAAGCTTTACACTAACCCTATTCCAAACACCAACTTTATAACTTAAATCCCTACCATAACCCTTACTCGTTATTCAATAACATACCGTAGTAAATAATTTAATCACCATTTCTAAGTCTTTCACTTTTTCGGGACAAAAAACTACTTGAAAAAGACCAGGGCTTTAAAAATTATTTGAAGTAGATAGTTATGATAAGACAGGTGTGGCGCCAGGGCCGCCCTTGCAGGGGGGGGGGCAAAGGGAGCAATTTTCTCCTCGACCCCAGCTCAAGGATGGCCGGCAAATACAAATTTGCAAGGGGGTAAAAAGTTTGTCGACGGAGGGGTGGGAGGGGAATTATTGTGGTTCACCGGGGCCCCAAAGATATAATTGGCCCTGGGCCCCCATATTTCACTGAGCTGGCCTGGGCTGCGCCAGTAACGCCAGTAATTCTCCGACGGGGGAAGTCATCGGTCAGCTCTCTTTCATTCTTTGGCAATTGGCATTGAAACCACAAGAACTACCGACAAGTGACCAGGGCCGGATTAACGTCGCTCGAGGCTCGTGGCAGATTTTAGCGCGAGGCCCCCCCCCCCACTCTCCGCCTTGTTATGAAAACCTTTGAATTTAAAGACACACAAAATTGTTAAATAATTTTTTTCAATATTTCAATTTATTAGCATCAATTATAAACGAGACAATGGCCTGTCTGGCCCAGTTGTTGGGTCAACATGTATAAACAGGATCATAATATAACAGCTCAACGCAACTGGAGATTACATGCACACGAGTATTGCATATCTTCCCGGGGCCGTGCTGGAGCCAACTGCCAACCCTAGGGACCCTAAATTCGCGAGGCACCTAAAATGGGTGGGTCCCAATAGAAAATGGCCGTGTTCTCGTAAAAATGGGCGTGGCACAGTAAAGCGCAATGCCCCCATAAGCGCGAGGCCCGTGGCATTTGCCGCATCTGACACATGGTTAATCCGGCGTTAAACGAGCAACAAGCTTCCATTTTTTTTAAACGCGACGTGTGGGGAGACAATAATAATTTCTGGTGTCGCACTGGGGTAGCATATCTCAATGCTGTATTTTTGGGTTACTATAGTACTTGTGGAATATAATAAGATCAATAAACAATAGTGTATCAAAAGAAAGTAATTTTACTGATTATTTTAACTGAGCATCAAAGTGAACACACATTAAAATAATTATTCTAAACTATTTGCTATAATTTGAGTTTGAGGTGGTAGAATATGTAATAAAATAACAAACCTTGTATGGATTAATGTTCATTTCACACGCACGCTATTAAGAGGGTCTAGATGGGGTGGTGCCCAAAACAGTAAACATTTGATTTTTTAGTAATTTAACAGTAACAGTAAAAAATTTCACATAATAGTAAAATTTTGCTAATTTCACGAAGACGTAAAAAAGCACTTAATTATATGTAGGAAGCAAATGCACAGTCTCTAAGACCATCAAAGACATATTTTGCATATTTTGTAATTGGCACACCAGGCCCATATGCACATGTGCTGGCCTGCATGAAGGCAAAGATGCAGGTGCTGGGCAAGGTGACAAGTAATGTAAAAGCTATAAAGATCTGTAAGACCTGTAAACACACTCTGACATCGCTTTTAATATAGTTTCGTATTCTTTTGTCTGAAATTTAGTAGTTTAAAGCCCTTTTTGAAATGCATTAGACTTTTTATAATAATTACAACACTTAACTGCGAAGTCTTCCATGACAGTAAACAACAAAATATTTAGCGTTTCAACATTAATGCATGAGTCAATTCCTGGAGTAACCATCCCCCCCGGGACACCCCCGGGCATTTGCCCGATAGACAGTTCACGGGGGTCGGGAATTTGCCTTTCATATATGTGCCCGGGGGCCGGGTATTGGAGGCCCCCGGGGATTTGACAAATGGTTGCCCAGAATCCCACCCACAAATTTTAAGGCAGCAAAACATAGTTCAGGCAAGCATGTGGGCGCGCTGATCGTGTTTTGCGCCCTCGTGTTCACGGTGGCGTGAAATTTATTGTAAGAATAAGCGAAAATTATACCCTCTGCCATGCAAATTTAAATACAACTATTATAAAGGTTTATGTTTTATAATATTCCACAGCAGTTTAATACTGTTATAAAATGACTATGATTATATGCCTTTAAAAGTTTAATTAACGTTTACAGTCGATTTCACGAAACTTTGACCACAAAATTTCCGAACTTCGTTCCGAAGTTCACAAGATTGTTGCGAAGTTCAAAAGTTCATAATGAGATTCACAAACCAGTTCGTAAACTACGCATTTGATTGGCTTCTTTTACTTCACGGATCAATCAGGGACTTTGTTTACAAATTGGCTTGTGAATTCCAATATGAGCTTCCGAACTTCACAACGAACTTGCGCACTTCGCAACGAAATTCGGAACATTTGTGGTCAAAGTTTCGTGAAATCGACTGTAAAATCGTCCCTGGGGTGGGGCATTTTCCACTCTCAGCTTGCCCAGGGGCCGTGCATTAGTCTTCAAGTTGTGTCCCGGCACCCGGGCATTTACACTGTCATAACCAATCTAATCAAATTCCCGGGTGTGTTCCCGGGGGGGGGGATGGTTACTCCTGGAATTGACTCATGCATAAACACTATAAACCGCTAGCGAAGTTTTTGATTTTACAACTCTATTATTATAGCTTTCACACCAGTTTTGAAATATGTTAAACTTATTAAACTTGTGCTCTTTATCAATGATTTAAGAAAGCAAATTAACCACTAGTCATGCCATTCACCAAAGCAGTAAATTAAGATTTGGCGTTTGAAGTTGACGTTTGGCGTATAAATTTCATGCTTTAACGACTACAAGCCCTCGTAGCAGTTCAAGCATGGAATTTATACGCCAAACGTCAACTTCAAACGCCAAATCTTAATTTACTGCTTTGGTGAATGGCATGACTAGTGGTTAATTTGCTTTCTTTAAATCATTGATAAAGAGTACAAGTTTAATAAGTTTAACATATTTCAAAACTGGTGTAAAAGCTATAATAATAGAGTTGTAAAATCAAAAACTTCGCTAGCGGTTTGACGTTTGCCGTAAACGTCAATCTTAAGGTCTCTATTAAACCCCATCTAGACCCTCTATTAACAGCTGCTTAATAATTAACTTATGTATTCGTAAACATTTATACTCGATAGCATAGTCGATATGTAAAATGGTACATTATATGGATCAAACTGGAACAAAACAACAACTGAAGTTCTAATTTTGGAAATTTAGTAGCAAGTATAATCCCTAAACAGCTCATCGAGTTGTATGTTAGCGCTATTAAAAGTAGACAATATTGAACAGTGATCTGAAGTTATTATGCAACTGACAACAATATTATATCTCAAAATACCTGTATATGATGATATTTTACAAATACATCAGGATTTTTGGACCAATTTTAAACTTAGCAAGGCAAAAAGTCTCCATTCAAGAATATATCTTCTTCTCAAAAGGTAAAATACTTAGAATACTTGATTAATTAAATTGTTTACTTCGACGTATGTAAATTAACAGCGTTTGCTTGCAAGACGTCAAAAACGGACGATTTCAGCGCGCTGTCGTTTATCGCATATTCATTTGCCCAAAGAAGTATTTACGTCAATTGAAAGCTTGTTTATTAAAGAGCCAACTAGTAGAAGCATGATCGATTTGGAGCTTTATCCCATAGTGAAAATCGGTTTTGTTAAGAGGGTATCGTAAATGAAGTAAGATAGTGTGCTCCAAAACTACGATTGTTTCTATTCCTAAAAGTAACTCAGATTTCTTGTAAGTCACGTACCCGGTCCTTTGAATAACCGAAAACAAGATTTTTAGGGTTTTAGATCGATTATAAACGGTTGTCGTCGTGAAATTTGTCGGTAAACTCAGCGCATATTTTCCCAGACAAAATGGCGATTTAGGGTGGTCGCGTGTTAAAACGGCATTTTCTCAAAGTTAAAAAAGCATTTGGCCTAAAAAAATATATGGTGCATTTTCCGATATAATAAGGTATATCTGGGCAAAATTTGAGCAAAATCGATTTTTCAGTCGTGGCCGCGAAATATCTCATATGTTCGATTTTTACTGACATTCACTCTTAAGCTTTCTTTTTAAAAGCAAGGTGTTTGAAATCCGTCTCAGGGGAAATATGGGGTTATACATTGAAAAATGAAAATGCTAATTAACGTGAAATTTAATATAAAGAATACTAATGAACGTGAGATTTTATATAAAATTTCACGTCAAATTAAAAATGCAAACAATATAATCGACTTTGGACACCACAACGTACATAAATATACAGCACAGTAGTACTAGTATAGGTGGTTTTCGGGCCTTATTTGTGTGGCGGAGGGAGGCGGAGCTAATTAATATTCAGGTGGCGGAGAGGAGAGAGTCGAAGTGAAGCGGAGGTATTAATATTCAGGTGGTCGAGGGAGGGGGAGATAATTAATATTCAGGTGGTGGAATGCGGGAGGCGGAGTGAAGCGGAGGTATTAATATTCATGTGGTGGTGGAGGGTAGAGGGAGGGTGCGTTCAGTAAATGAGAGTGAGCAAATGAAATATTCAGTAAATGAGAGTAAGGAAGTAAAATATTCTGCAAATGAAAGTGGGCACTAATTTGTATACAACTGAGGATGCTAACGCCGTTGTTATGGTCTATCAATTTGCATATTACAGAGTTATTAAAAATAATTAATCCACCCACCCCATGCGGATACAATTTTTTATTTCAACAAGTGAGCATGGTACAGACAAATACAAGGGATTGTTATGGTTAATATACGTTGTGGGTTTTGTGAGATATATCAAAATTTTGTCTTTTGTGTATATCTAAAACGTATACCGCCAAGGTCATTAACAGTCGTTAAAGGATTATAGCGGATTTCTTCAAAACGTTTTACAAAATTTAGTACGATCGACTTCTAAGAGCGTATCGTTTTGGTGTCTTTTGGTATCTCTAAAGAGTTCTTGTATTCGTGTCTGTCTTCAGAAGATAACCTTGCAATTTTCTCCGGCTTCATTGAAATATATTTTGATCTTTCGCGAAGTAGTCTTCGTTCGTAACCTTCTCTTTGTTCCGGGGTCATCATTGCCAAATCTTGGGGCCACCAATCTGTAGAGTCTACGCAATTGTGAAAAAAGTCGCGCTTGAGTTTTGGTCGTTCCTCTTCTGTTGATGGCGGTGTAAGGAAATTAGGTTTTAGGATATCTCTCATTTCTTTTCCCTAATGAAATATATTTTGGACAATATAGATGATGGACAAATTTTTAAACTTTAAACTTTGTTGAATTCGATATAAAGTACTGCTATAAGTACTGCTACCAGTCATAAAGTACTGCTTGGGTGGGCCAGAGGAAATAAGGATGGGCCATGAAATTATTTTCGTCAGTTTGGGTGGGCCATCAATTTGTTTTGGTGCAAATGGATGGGCCATGAAACACTTATAGCCATGTTTTCACTCATTACATACTATAACAACTACACAACATTCCTATTAAAAAAACAACATTCAATATATAACAAAATAATAGATTTAAAGTGAATTCAAAATGAATAAAAACATAATCCTGTTATTGTTAATATCATTAATATTTTGTAAGTCACATCTACAGCCATTCATTTTTAAATATCCACATTACGCTTCCTCAGAGTCAGATTCTGATGACATAGAGTCAGACTGAGGAGATGTTTCCAATTATTTTTAACAAAAAAATCAACTGTAGATTGTTTTTTCCCCACAACTGTTGTTTTTCGCTTTTGACTTGTTACTTGTTTTTTTGCCTCTCCAATGAAGTTACAATTTCATTTACTTGTTCCACAGCATCATCTTCAAAATAATTCTTGGCAATTAAAGTTTTTAATGCTGTCATATGGTACCTTGTCCTTGGTTTAAGTTGTTAAACAATAGGCTCAGCACACAAATCTACTTGAGCGATTTTTTCAGTACCATTCTCCAGAGATTCGTACTTGATTCTGCCACTTGTAATAATCTTTGTGACATCACACGCTCTTGCGTTTTCTCTTGCATTAGTTTCTCTGCATCACTTTTGGAGGAAATTTTCCTGCAGTTAATAAATTACAATTAGTAATGATTGTTGTGTGACATTCCTCTAATTTCAATCGATTTTAGTCCATCCAATTTGTTGTCGTAAAATTTGACTTCATTGGCTTTCCAGGATTTGGAAATCCACAAATCTTTGGCTGGTACTGGCCCTACGCTTTTGAAAAATTATCTTTGTTTTTAATATCCTCCAGGCGAAACATGTTAAAATATATATACTTACAATTACTTGTAGCCCAGACTGGAAAATCGGGCAATGCCGCCCTCGATTTTTTTTCGGGGACAAATTTTTGCGCCCCTGGATGTCTTCTAAAAAAGATTCCCGAATTTTTTTTTGTGCCCGCGGCCCGCAGAATAATTGATAAATAACACCAACCAATAGCACTATAGCAGAACATTACTTTTGTAATGACAGTAATGTTGTCTTGAATCTCTTCAGCACCGCATTGCTATCTGTCGGCAAAATATCCAAATCGTGATTTGAGTCGGCAAGAGCTTGGACATGTGGCAAAGCGCAGACATGCTTGAAGAACTCGTGGAACTCATTGTTGCCGCTTGTTCCCCATTGGATTCGGTCATCACGCTCTAATAACTAGCTTTCCATCCTCAATTTTGTAATTGCACATCTGTTTTGCTATATTCTCGAAATCAAAGATATTGCACAGCTCTTGACTGAAGTCAGTACAATCACTACAATGTTTGTGAACCGAGCTTGAAGACGAACCCAAAGATCTTTGCAAAGTATGACGAGATCTTTAACACAATCTTGTGGAGAAAGAGCATCCCAGATATAAGTGGTCTGCTTCTTGCCGTCTGTCATCTCAGTGGTCTGGCTAACGACTAACCAGTCAGCTCAAAAATTGGGATACCCCAAAACAAATAATCAAGAATGCAATTCTAAAGTAGGCATGATACATTAGACACATGAAAAAACCCAACACTGCATTTGTCTCGTGGGTGGAGTCGATTCTTCCCAGTGCTTGGAGAGCTTCGCCAACTTCTCTTCAGGGTTTGTTTCCATCTTCAGGGTTTGTTCCCAACACCGCTTTAAGGTTTGTTTCCAAACCTTCAGGATCTTGATCATTCTCGAAAACCACGTAACAATCCTCCAAGGTGGAAATTTTACAGCTTGTGCTCTTAGCATCAATGATATGACAGGCTCTAGAACGTCCAATGTTCCACAAAGATCAATAGCGTAGTCCTGTCCATGAATCTAAATCACAGAAAAGTGAAATGAGATCTACAATTTTGTTATTTTACCGTGTGGCACATGTTAGGGTAATTGGGTCCAGTGTAAATTAACGCTCTATTAAATGGTGAATATGCTGCGAGAGAACATGTCCATAGATTCATTGAACAACTTAACTAACTAGTTTTAAATGAAATTAAAGAGAATTTAGTTTTTACCGCTGTTTATGCTAAACAGGCTTCGTAACACCAGCCGTTAATTGGCCATCAACGTTAATATGGTGCTTACCTGGTATTTATTTTCTTCTTCCTCATCGTCCTCATTTTCCGGGCATCAGTCACTGAAAAGCCATGATAGGGAGTGTGCTGTGAAATATCTGTATCTCCTAAAGGCTTCAACTAAGGCTTTATAACTACGGCAGACTTTGTCCCATTTGCTCGTAGGACCAGCTAAAAAAATGTGTTGTGGCGAATGTTACAGTTTATAAAGCCTTCAAATTTAGCGATGCAGCCAAACCTTTGTATTCTGGATGACCACAGCCACGTTCAAACATTACGTGAAGTTTGTTGGATGTTTTAATAAGCCTCTTCAAGAAAGCAGCATACGCACCGACTTCTCTTAGTCAAGAACATGGAAAATATATTTTAAAGGTATCAATGGGTACATTTTTGCGCCCCTGGCCGCCCCTGAGTCCGCCCCTGGGACAGGTTTTGCGCCCCTGCCCTTGGATTCAACAGCTTTTGCGCCCCCGAGATCTCGTCGAAAACCGCCCAATTTTCCAGTCTGGCTTGTAGCATTGTTGGAAGCAATTGACATTGGTGTAGTACACTGGCTTGCCGTGTCTTTATCCTGTACCCCGTGTTTGATCAGTTCGAAATTCAAACTCAAAATTTCGATTGCATACAAAATAATTTATCGTTTTCGATGACCTGACTTGTCATACAGTGCAACTTCTTTCAAAACATAAATAATTTCCTCTGGCTGCATGTCCAAGAGTTGCTTTAGATCATCATACCCAAGCTCCATGAACTTGTTGACATACTGTGAAAGGTGGTTCTTCTCAACTCTCAAGAAATGTTCTAATTTTATCCGCCATGTTGTTCCAAAACTGTGATGATTGAGCCAGCATGCCGAAAGTACAGCTTTTGCACATAACTACTTCGTGTAGCGTTACATAAAGTTGCACCTATGTCCTATTAATCTATTTTCTAATGTTTATGCGTTTATTCATGATCACGATGATGCAAAAAAAAATGAAAAATCCAATAGAATTTGCACTGATATGCGTTTGTCAACTAATGTTGTTGGCTTACTGCAAAACTGTAAGCCGGGTGCTGTGGAAGATTTACTGTTACTAACTTCAAAGATAGAAGCAATAGACAACGAGCACAAATGCACGTCAGAGACTGTACTCATCGAAACAATCTTTGAGGATTCAGGGCAGTATTACAAGAACTTCTTTGTACTATTAATATTAATATAAAGAGAGATATCAAATAAAGAGAGATATCAAATAAAGATTCTTCAATTTTAAATCACATCTATTTGATGCGTAAACTACTAAATATGTAACCAATTAATTTGTTATATAAAGTTAATATGACAAAGTGACTCAGCTAGTGCATGGTTTGATCAAAGTGACTGCTATACTGTACATATTCATGTATAGCAAGATGGGTCATGAAATTTTTCCAATGACCTACGATGGGCTTTGAATTTTTTTGTAGGTTCTCAGGATGGGCCACTGGGTTTTTTTTGGAAAACTTATTTTTCCCTCCGGCCCACCCTAGCAGTTACTTTATGACCGGTCCCTAACTTACTATGAATGGATTTTGGTGACTCTTTTACTACTGTCTTGTCATCTGGAAATCCTCGTGCCCACTTTGTAACTTTTCATCAACATTACTATAATTGCTCAATTTATCTTACTATGAATGGATTTTGGTTAATTATCTATTTATCCGGCTGTTCTCTTGTACGTTTTTAACTCAAAATGACCTGCTAACCACCACTTACCACACCTTTGCTGTTCAAGGACATTTAAGAGGCAGTCCGTGTAAAAACCGACCACTCGAATTTCTTAAGATTACAGATTTCCTTCAAACTTTCTGTGTGAAAGAAGTCATTCATAAAATGAACAAAAAACTTTGACTTTGAAATTGTAGTCAGTTTTAAAAAATTTCTCGCAATTATTTTCGGACGCGTTCGAAAACAAGTTAAAACGTTAATTACGCAAGTGATATTTGAGCTTTATTATATCTCACAGTTCATCTCGCGCTTTTATTCTAACTTCTTGAAACTTACATGTTTTATTATTTCCTGCCTAGGCATAAACCTAAACTAAAAATTATCCTGATCACTTGAAGCAAACAAAATATTGTGTATTTTTAAAAACGTCTTTCAGACAGCGGATTAAATATTCGTGTTAGTATGCTGGCGGTAAATTATTTTTTCTCAAAAGTGCAACGGTATCAGGTATCCAATCTATTGCAGCTACTGAGTATTATGACACATCTACTAGAATAAATAATAAAATCTTTGGGCAGTGTGTTTTTCGCCTGACAAGCGCGTCATGAATATAGTCAATTTTCGCTAATTCCTCTAATTATATGCTATAATTTCTTTTTGTATTTGCTTAAAGTTTTCGCGTTAAAAACATACAAAACTGTTTACTGTTTCAAATATGGCTGTTTTTTGAATAGAGAGTAAGTTATAAATATGCCAGCAATTATATATGCTTGAAATTTTACGTTTATGGGTATCATTAAATACTACATGCATGGTATATATAAACAAAAATATGTAAGAAAAGTGCGGGAAAGGATATATGTGTGCCAATTTATACGAATGCCTTGAAGGAGCATTTTTTTCTCATCATAGAAATAGTGCAGATTTATTTTGCCACAATAAAATGAAACAAATATTATACATGTTTAATATTTTCATGTTTTTTTAAGAACTGCAATTACACTATTGCGTATGAGAGAAACGTATGAGTAGCGTAAACCATGCATGTGCATGCATACGTTTTTAACCATGCTTACCTTGCATGGTTCCGCGATTTTTAAATAGACACCTTACGATTTATGACAGCAACGGCTACAAATACAATAAATAATTAAAAAGAATTCAATGATTGCAATATATTAATAATTTAGACATTGTCCTCGCTTTGTTTACAACGTCAAATCGCAGATTTTCACGTCTTGATACAACGGCTGCATTTCCGAAGCCGCAACAAGTGCAACTTCAAACTGGCTTCAGCAGAACTCTTCCCAAACATAAAACCCATTAAATTCATACGATTGTATTAAATTCATACGATTGTATTAAATTCATACGATTGCTAATATACCACGAATTGTCTTTAGGCCACTATTTGCTGTATATTAGTTTCTCATCCCCGCCCGCATGCTTTTTTAAGAAAATGGCCTTATTCGCCATTATTATTGCTATTTTTGACCATTATTATAAATTTTTTGATGTCTTCAAAGTGAAATTTGAAAGAAAGACAATTAGAAACGTTCCCAAACCAAATGTTAGTTAAAATACAAAATTTCATAACCAAACTGCAAGTTTTTCCCGCATACGTACACACTTATTAAATATCCAAACTCAGCTATAAAAGTTCTACCGGAAGCCAGGGGCAGCGGAGAAAAACGCCAGACGTTCTGGGTAGAAAATTATGAAAACATGCTTTCAGTTGCACTTACTGATTTTGTGCTGTTTTTCAGAACGTTGCTATATAAATGCTTAATGCGCACTTTTCCAAAATAAATCTTATCGGGAGAGGAAATCCAGCAAATAATGGTATTGGCCCGAAAAGCCCGCATCCACTTCCGGAGAAGCTCCGGATGAGAAACTAATATACAACAAATAGTGGGCTTTAATACTGCGAGGGAGTTTGTTTTGGCCGTCGTCGTCGCGTTGCCGTCCTAAAATCGTAAGGTCTCTAATAACCCCTCCGTGCGATCGTTAAATCACTTGCCGTTAGATGCCTCTATATATACACCCTTTAGTTACTGCTTCGCCCTTTCAGAGAGATTACGACATGCAGTCTTGGTTCATTTGAGAATAAGTTTCACTTTCACTTAATATATGCGCTTACTACATGTTTCGTCGGTTTTAATCCCCGAGCCGGCGGCGCGAAGCGCCGTGCGAGGGTACTAATTCCCCCCGGCTATTTACACCCGGGGAAACGAAAGCATTAGCGAAGTCTAAAGTTCATCAATGAGCGCGGGCGTCGGTCACCAACGATGGGTGGTCATCCTCACTGATCTCAAAAATATGGCGGACTGTCATGAATAACGGACACTGATTGGTCCAATTTAAAGTTTGCATTATAACGACTGCATGACGACAGCGAAATGCCAGCAAACATTTCTTGATTTGATGAGTTGATGATTGATAAATTTCTTGCAATTATTCTTCATTTTTGCTCGTATTTCTGCAAGATTTTGTAAATTTCAAGAAAGAAAGGGTGAAAGAATCGGCTAAAAGAAGGGAGCCAACGTTAACGAAGGTAAGTTTCGTTTTAAATATTGATTTTATAATGGATTTAAAACCCGACGGCCTTCAATTTGCGTATATGAAACAACTAAACAAGACGCATATAATTTCAATGTATCTTTAATATTGATTCCCTTTTTTGTTATATTGAATTTTTTAAATAAAAAAGAAACCAAAGTTCTTTGCAAGCGAGAATTTGAAATCATTTTATTGCAAACTCAAAGTTTATCGATAAAGCCATTTAATTTATAAAGGCAGTTTAAAGTTTTATAAAGAACACTTTAAAACGTTTTACGAAGCGTTTGTGGTTGAATTTTACCTTAAATTGAAGCTTATATTACGTATAATAACATACCTAACATATATATGTTGGGAAATGGATAATTTTGTAATTAAAAATGAAATTTTTAGGCGATTTTTCATTTGTAAGAATATTCTTAAAAAATTATCGTGTTACCATGACAACTACTTTAGATACTTCATGTTCGGAAAATACAATGGTTTTGTCAGCAAGGCGAGGGTTTCTGCATGCATGTATTTTCTAGTATAGTCTAATAGCTCAAAGCAACAAGAAAGAAATTCGTTTTTTACATCAAAACGTTTTTGTATACCCAACCATGCATGTATTAAAGTTGATTGTTTATAGATTCTAATTTCGTACCTTGTCTCTCTATGTACATGAGAGCAAGTATTGTAGTAGTAGTACACTCATAGGCGTACGGGATTCATATATCTATAAGAGGAGTTGTGGTCTATATTGCCCGAAAATATTTGGGCCCCTTTCTTGACTTTTCTTTGGGGGATTTTTCCCCCTCCCCCCCCCCCCACTCCCCCCGACTTCAACGAGTTAAGATTGTAATGATTTTACGATATAAATATACTGTTAACCCTTAGGGCGCGGATAGGGTCAAATTTGACCCATAAGATACTTGGGCGTTCTGTAGCAAAAGTATACATGCTAAAATTATACTGCGCATGTCAGTTTGAAGCACATTACTTCCTCTTCAAAATAAAACAAAATTCACAGCGATAGCTTGAGTATTGACGATTTTACAGCGATTTTTGTAAGGATTTTGGACAGTTTGTATACAAAATGGCGTCCCAAAAGGATTACCTAAGCATAGACCAAGTAATGGCCACGTTACATGCCGAAAATGAGTCAGAATTCGACTCAGATTCATCGTGAGATGTCGAAGAATAAACAGATGCATCAGCTGATGAATTTCAGGCCTCTTCAAGGTGCAATGTTGATCCATGCTACCAAGATTCAGTGTTTCACATTGATAACAATCCCCAACAAGTAAGTAAATGATCTAATTTTTGTATTATTATAACGTTATTGATTTATTGAAGTAAATTTTCAATAAACGTAGTAAATTTTGAAACAAAGATATGCATCTATGAATATCATATATTATTCACCCTCATAGAAATATAGGAGAAATATTCTTTCTCGACATCAGCAAATTGGCTGATGACAAGGCTAAAAGTTGCGGCTAGAAATTTCCTGATGACAGGGCATATGACGATGCTAGAAATAAGGAGTATCAGCCATATTTTTGTTTCATAATCTTTTGTTTGATATGTAGTCATTTTCAAATTTGTAGGAATCATGCAACAGTGACATCACTGCTACTAGTGATAACGAACCCAGGCCCAGTACGTCAAGAGGGAGCGTTGGACCCACTGTACGCGGTCGTGGAAAGGCTACTGGGCATATAATATATCTTTATTTTACCCGTAGTGATAGCTAGTTAATATAAGAATAACCTATTTTGTTTTATTTGTATACAATATTATAAATTCTAGGTATGATGTCAGTAATAATATAAATTCCTGTAATAATCGTGTTATTACAGGAATTTATACCAGTGGTTTCCGGCATAAAAAAAATTGATAACTTATGTAATAGTCTTGCTACATATATAATTATCGTATCATTTTGAAGCCAAATGAATTATCTCTTCATTTATATGGACCAAAATACCATTCACTTCTTGTATGCTCCACAAAAGGTCCAAAGAAAAACTACATAAGAAAACTTGAAATTACTCGTTGACCGACTTCAAGCGATGACGGGGATTATATATATGAACCGCTTTTCACGCGAAAAACATTACTCTCTAATAATATAAATTGTATAATATACTTTCTTCTAATATTCTCTTGTGATAGATGTGTACATTCGGAGGAAATCGGTGCATATAGTTTTAGTTACCAAGATCAGTATGTTTACAGTGCGCGCTTTCATACACTGATAAATAATAAAAAGATAATACCGGCGGATAAAATTAGCAACGCGTGCATGTCAATTTCAACTTTTGCTCTATGTTATAAAGCTTATCCCATACCTGTGTTAAAAGCGGCTTTCTGATTGGTTTAGAGCAGGTGAGCTTGTCGTCGAGCTCACCTGCTTTTGCCGAACTCACCTGCTTTTCGCCCGAACTCACCCGCTAAACTGCTTACGTTGCAATAACAATAACAAATATGGCGGACAAGATTTAGCCGATAAACCTAAACTTTAAAGAACTTTTTTCGGTGACTAACATACTGAGACTGAAGAAAAACCAAAGAAAAAATGCAGTAAAGGTAATGTAGACGTAGATAAAGAAGTATTTTCTTGCCCAGTGATTTTTTTCGCCGGGAAAATGTTCACAAAACATCGGCGAATATATCGCGAAGAGCTACAAATGTGTGTATGGCTCGATGTATGGGATAAAAACCAAACGTACTTGCAGGTTCGGTGAGTCCGGGATTGGACGCACCTCGGGTGGCTGGAAGTTTCCCGAACTCACCTCGCTTCGCTCGGTAAGTTCGGGAAACTTCCAGCCACCCTCGGTGCGTCCAATCCCGGACTCACCTCCCTGCAAGTACGTTTGTTATATAGCATAAATGCTGGCATATTTATAACTTAGTCTCTATCCAAAAAACAGCCATATTTGAAACATAGTGAACAATTTTGTATGTTTTTAACGCGAAAAAATTTAAGTAAATGCATTAACAAATTATAGCTTATAATTAGTCGAATTAGCGAAAATTGACTATATTCATGACGCGCTTCAAGTGAAAAACACACTGCCCAAAGATTTTATTATTTAATCTAGTAGATGTGTCATAATACTCAGTAGCTGGAATAGATTGGATACCTGATACCGTTGCACTTTTGAGAAAAAGTACTGAATTTACCGCCAGCATACTAACACGAATATTTAATCCGCTGTCTGAAAGACGTTTTTAAGAACACACAATATTTTGTTTACTTCAAGTGATCATGATAATTTTTAGTTTAGGTTTATGCCTAGGCAGGAAATAATAAAATATATAAGTTTCAAGAAGTTAGAATAAAAGCGCGAGATGAACTGTGAGATATAAAAAAGCTCAAATATCACTTGCGTAATTAACGTTTTAATTGTTTTCGAACGCGTCCGAAAATAATTGCGAAAAAATTTTTAAAACTGACTACAATTTCAAAGTCAAGGTTTTTTGTTCATTTTATGAATGACTTCTTCCACACAGAAAGTTTGAAGGAAATCTGTAATCTTAAGAAATTCGAGTGGTCGGTTTTTATACGGACTGCCTCTTAATAATTGAAATACCTTCCTAACCACCACTTGGTTGCTGTTTAAAGACATTTGATAACTGAAATACCTTCCTAACCACCACTTGGTTGCTGTTTAAAGACATTTAGGCTAATAACTGAAATACTTTCCTAACCACCACTTGGTTGCTCTTTAAAGACATTTAGTTACTGAAATACCCTCCCTAACCACCACTTGGTTGCTGTTTAAAGACATTTGATAACTAAAATACCTTCCTAACCACCACTTGGTTGCTGTTTAAAGACATTTAATAGCTGAAATACTTCCTAACCACCACTTGGTTGCTGTTTAAAGACATTTAGTTACTGAAATACCTCCCTAACCACCACTTGGTTGCTGTTTAAAGACATTTAGTTACTGAAATACCCTCCCTAACCACCACTTGGTTGCTGTTTAAAGACATTTAATAACTAAAATACTTTCCTAACCACCACTTTGTTGCTGTTTAAAGACATTTAATAGCTGAAATACCTCCCTAACCACCACTTGGTTGCTGTTTAAAGACATTTAATAACTGAAATACCTTCCTAACCACCACTTGGTTGCTGTTTAAAGACATTTAATAACTGAAATACCTTCCTAACCACCAATTGGGTGCTGTTTAAAGACGTTTAAACGGTTGAATGGCGACAACCAATTAATTACTGTTTGAGCAAGATATTACAGGAAGGTACCTGAAAAATCAGTTTCTTTGATGATTTTTATCATGAATGAAGCGAATTTTTTTGGTATCTGTCTGCTATATTACATACAGTATGTATTGCCAGTCGGCGGAGTTGTGGGGTCGCTGGGGACCGAGGGGTATGTACAAATTACAAATACGAGGTAAGTGCACGGCGCACCAATCCGTTATGTTTCCTATGGCCTGAGTTTCCTATGATTATTAATTTTGAGCCGATTTGTCCACTTTGCAAAGCGGGCGCGCAAATTAGAAAACTGGGCGCGCAAATTAACTGGGCGCGCATTTCTTCAACGTTGTCGGCTATTCACTTCTGTTACAAAGAGGGCTGTATGCTTTGCTGTTGTGATACCAGCGTATTCATCATGATAATAAACTGGTGGCTTTCTTTCTCGCGCTGAACACCTGCTATCAGGTGAATTCTTATCTGATTCTTCTTTAGAGCACTCATCATCCTTTTCCTCAACCTCCAATTGTACTCTGTTCGTATGTCCGAAGTCAGTTTCATTGAAAGTAACATCTCGACGGATAAAGATTTACGTTTGTTCTCATCGTACAATCGATACCCCTTCTGTGTCAAACTATAGCCAACGAATCGTATTTTCACTGCTTTCTGGTCGAGCTTCTGACGTGAAGAATCTGGTACATGGGCATAGGCGGTGCAACCAAAAACACGGAAATTTGAAACATCCGGTTTCTTACCGTACCATCGCTCATATGGGGTGACTCCAGTTGCTGTTGTGATAACTCGGTTTCTTATGTATGCTGCTGAACAAACTGCTTCAGCCCAGAAACTCTTGGATACTCCTGCATGTAAGATCATTGATAAAGCAGCTTCCTGGAGCGTCCTGTTCATCCGTTCGGCGATACCATTCTGTTGTGGTGAGTGGGGTACAGTTGTCTCGTGATGAATACCTTTCTCTTTGAGGAAATTTGGAATTCAGCAGACATATATTCACCTCCATTGTCTGTCCGTAAAGTTTTAATTTTGCAATCTGCTTGATTTGTTACTACTGCTTCCCATTCTTTAAACTTATCCAACACTTCCGATTTGTGTGTAATGGGATAGACGGTTACACATCTAGAATAATCGTCAATGAATGTCACAAAGTACCTGGCACCACCAAAACTTTCGGTTTTCATTGGTCCAGCGACATCACTGTGAACAAGTTGTAATCGTTTCTTTGATTGTACTTCTCCCACTGGTTTGAAGGGTGCTCGATGTGATTTTCCTTCGGCACAGGCTTCACAGAAGTCCAGCTTCCCGGTTCCCGGTTCTAGGCATATCGGTACCTGTTACTATCTCTCTTGAAACCATCGGCCAGCGTTCAAATGAGCCATCCTTTGATGCCACAGATTTAGTTTGTCACTTGATCTTTCTGCAACTGACACTTGTTTTTCTTGTCTTTCTACTCTGCAGTCCAGACGATACATGTTGCCAACAAGACGACCTCTCGCTACAACCTTTCCTTGAGAGTCCTTGATCCAGCAAAGTGTATGTCCAAATTGCACCACTTTTTCTTTCATAGCTGCCGCCCGAGCACTAAATAGATGTGCGGCTAACTTGGGAACATACAGTACTTTAGTCATAGTTGATTTTCGTTCATCTTTCTCTTTAGGACCAAGCAGCATAGTAATGGATATTTCACCAGTCCCCAAAGCATGCACAGATCGACCATCTCCAAGAACAACTGGTTCTGGCTCCAAAAACTCTTGATAGTTCATCAATAGATCACGACTTGAAGTCATGTGTTGAGATGCGCCTGAGTCGATAATCCAGTAGTCATCTCCTTTCATATCACTTAGTCCAACAGCAAAAACATTAGCGCCAGAATCATCATTCTTATCAGTGTCTCCATGAGCAGGAGCTGCATTGTGCTTTGATGATTTGTCAAATTTTCCTTCATTTTCATTTCGTCGATACTGTTTTTTTTTCTTTTTCTGAGGACAATTTCGAATAACATGACCTTCTCCACAACCATAACACTTAGTAGGCTTTCGATCTAACTTGTTATGTTGCAATGCAGATTCGCAATCCTGAGCTCCACCACCACCACCGACTTTACTCTTACTTTGCTTGCGTTTTTCTTCCTTGTTTAACAATGCTTGATGCAGTTGACTCAGGTTTAGTTCATCTCCTTTGGCAGTTAATGCGGTTACCAAGGTGTTATATGAACGTGGTAGACTTAATAGTAATGTAATGCGACTATATGCTCATCGTCTGGAATTGGTGCTTTGATAGCGGCCAATTGACCAGTAATCACTTTCATCCTTCGCAAGTGTTCATCAAGAGAATCTGACTCTTTCATTTTTAGGGAGAAAAATCTTTGCTTCAGAAATAATTTGTTCCCAATCGTATCTCGTTCAAAGCGTTGCTTTAACTTATCCCATATTTCTTTTGGAGTTTGGCATTCGGTTATAAGGTAAATAAGATCCGATTTAATAGACGTAACTATGAGAGCTTTTGTCTTCTTTTGAGCTTTTTCAAACGACGCAGTTGCCCCAGAACTACTGTCCGATCCACTTGGGCGAGTTAGTGTTCCATCGATATGACCATACAATTCTCTAGCTTCCAAAATCGCTGTCATCTGATACTTCCATATTTGCCAATTCTTCGCACCATCAAGTTTATCGATTGATAACTTGTCTTCCTGGGCCATTGCGATAAAAATATATACTACAACAATACCTTCACTTGCTATTTCACAGTTTTGCGTTGTCTGGGCCCATAACCTGTTGATTTTACAAAGAAATACCGGCCAAAATACAGTAGAAATAATATAAATTTTATCTTTTAAACGACAGAACAAAAAACGTAACGTGAACGTATGTATGTGCCTGCGATATTAGCGTCCGTATTAACTACTCAGTACTTTATGTAAGCAGTACATTTAATGTTTGAGTGTCTACAAGATCTATTAGTTCCAACTTTAATTGCACTTGTGTTTTCAAAAATTTGTGAAACTTTGAAAACACGCGTGAAATTAAACCTTAATTTTATTCGGCCCCATGCGATTACCTATAGAAATATACCACATCGTAAACGACAGGCCAAAATTATCTTGCTTGAATTAATAAAAGTTTAAAATATTTTACTAGAAAATACATGCATGCAGAAACCACTGAGCTATACTATATTACTGGAGGACCTGCACGGGAAAAAAAGTGAAGCCAAAAACATGGCGGATTTCGGCCTTTGCTGACGCCATCTCCATGACAACTGGTCCGTATTTCTCATGGTAATTACCACTGACCAGGCTCGGATCTGATCCCGCCACAATTTCCACCCCCCCCCCTGGTTTTCTTTAAAAAACTTTAGATTTTTGCAATTTTGCTCGGGTTTTGTAGTATTTTCTCGATATTTGAATCGATTTTTAAAATGTTTTCGAGATATTTTTTCTAAACTTGGTTATTGGTTCAAAGATGTGCAAGTCGTACGAGTTATTCTTCCCGAGAAAGACAACAAAATTCAAACCTCGCTGTCCTCGCAAAATGTGAGCAAAGCCAAAGAGGATTTATGCTTTATCTTATCTCACATAAAATTGGTAGGCTTAACTTAAGCTTGACGATGAAATGCAATCTTTTTGTTAAGAAAACAGCCTTTTGCTGTTTTTTTTGTGTAATTTGGCAATCTGTAAGGCCATGGGAATGAAAGTCATAGATTTGCGTCCGGGTAATTTTGAAAAAGAATGCGGCTTTTCTTCATTATTCATTATTCATTATTTTTTACTATTGTTTTGGGTGGTAAATATAGAGATAAAAACACGAATTACCGTTCACGCCGTGGAATTACATATATCACGAGCTCACTGGGTCGCAGCACTGAAGATCTGTGTGCCAATTTCGCGATTTCGGTAAATATAATTTGGAATTTCATATGCATACTGAGGACAAACGTACTGCAATTTGTTCATTTCATTGTAATCAATACACAATTTTATTGCTAATTTTATTGAGTTTTGCTTTATTTGTGAAAATAATGATTTTTTTTGTAAATAATGAAAATTTTAGGCGGTAGCTTTTGAGGCATGCGGGCGGTGGACGCAAATCTATGACTTTCATTCCCATGGCCTAATCTGTATATTTCAAAATTTGGTTGCAGAAACTAAAATTTTTTGTTATCTATACTGTACTTTAGAAAATGGTATTACAGTAACTCCAGACGTTCCTTCAAAGCAAACGGTATGTCAGGTATGTGTTTAAATATATTCAGGTTTTGTGTAATATGTGCCAACTTTGCATACAAGGCTAATCAATGTCAAGATTTTTGGAACCCCCCCCCAAGAAAATGTTGCTGCTGTATGATGAAAAGGTAGTACATTGGCCATTTATAACACATTGTTGGGGGGCAGAGGGTTGTAGGGGTGATGAAAGCTCAGGTGGTACATAACGTCTATCATAACCTTTATAGTTAACCAATTGAGCTGCAATGCGCCCCACTGGGGAAGCTCTGCAGCCAGGGCCATACACAGCGTGGAGGCAACTGCCCCCCAGAGAAAACTATATTCACGATTTTTAGAATGTCATTAATTATTCGTTGGATATTTGGGACTTTTTCGGCATATAGGCCTTACTCTCCCCCCCCCTAGTGAAAAAATCCTGTGTACGGCCCTGTCTGCAGCTTAATGGTTTAACAATTTGGAACACCAACTACTGTATGTTGCTTCCCTTGCACTGGGAAGGTACCTTGTATCCTGGCCACTTTTGATTATTATACCATTAAAAGCCTGATAATTGCACCAATGGTTCTGGTGTCTCTGGTTTGGAGTTGAGTCACATTGTTTTGTTTTTCCCATCATCATTTTTGTGCTCAAAGTTACAACATATAATATATTTTTGTTTATTCCAGAATTATCTCACAATTGTCATATCATAATTTGGCATTTGTCCTGACTCACTCTGGTTTCCCAATTAACCCATAGAGTGGCTCTGACATTGACAAGTAAAAGTAGGGCACTACCAAGCAAGATGTATGGAAATTGAAGACACAAAAGTTGGATTAATTTTGAACTATTTTATTTGAACTTCTTCAATACAGTAGAATTATTAACAGTGAATAATTTTAAATTAACACTAAAATTATTGTAATTAATTAAGTGTACATGATGTAGTGGAGCATGTGTTAACTTAATAGTCTTAATTAATTAACATTAACTTACGGTAATAAAGGTTTATACTTTTATGTTATCATCACCATAATCTATAGACATTTTCAAATTTTGCTTGGGGTGGGGGTGTGCAGAAAAATTCAGGGGTGGGAAGTGAGCACATGGTGTGCTGAGTAAGATGCAGCAGGGTCTACCGGGGTCTACCATGGGTGTGCCCCCCCCCCCCAGTTTGTTGGGCAAACAAAGCCAGTTGGGCAGTATTGGCTTATTATTCTGTCAATTTTGTGGGAAATATGCTATCTAATAGGAATTTTTCGTAGCATCCTCCCCCCCCCCTGTTGACAACAATTTCGGAAAGTTTCTCTGCAATTTTTTTTTGACAACTCGGGCACAATCCGAAAAAGTCAGGCAAATTTCTTTCCGTCCACCTAATTTTTTCCTTCCTGTATGCCCATGCTGAGGGTACAGTCACTAGTGGGGACAGAGTTGGGGTAAGGTTGGGGGCACCGGCCCCCAGGATATTTCGAGATTTTTGGCCTTGTTTTAAGTCTTATTTAGTTCGATTATACTGCTGTCATTTAATCAAACCAGCATTTAAATTTCTGGGGCGGGTGCAAATATCTCTAGGTGGGGTGGGAAAACTTTCTGAGGTGGTGAAAATATTTTTGGGGGTGCACACCACCTGCATCCCCCCAAAAAATCCATCTATGATTGCCATCAGATAATTAAGTTACTGTGGTATTAATTATTATGACTTCGCTTTTGGCTATTCTGTATTTTAATGCCTTGTCCCATCAACTCCCATGTTCTGTGATGCCTGCAATATAACCAATAATTCCTGCAAGACAAAAATCATATTACACTAATATTATTACACATTTTCCCACCTCAAAAACAGCATTTATTATCAAAATTGTGGATACTTCTTCTCATCCATAAAACTGCATGTGTACTAATTAAAGTATTTTTACATAGTACTGAAATTATGGTGAATCATTATCCACTAGTTAATCATAGTTTCTCTGTAACTAATTCCAAGAAAGTCAAGACAATGACAGGCAAAGATAACAATTTGTTCAAGAGAGAGGAAGGATCCACAGTTAGGTTAATCAATAAAAACATTCTTGCTGTAGTTCTTTGTGTATTCCACTTGGTTGTGGAAATACATGTCCAGTTCATGATTTTTTTTGTAAATGATTCTTACGGATTGTTTTTAGGGACAAGTCATTATTAATGCCAGGTAGGGGGCTGGAGGAAATTTTTATGCATAGCAAAAATTTCTCATGACCCCTTATTTTTCTAACAAAATCAAAATTTATCCCCCCCCCCCCCATTGAGGCACCATATTTCATAGCCCCCTCCCCCCAATTCTGAATTCAATGAATCTAAGTCAGTTTCGTAAGCATTTTTCCTGCCCTCATACTCAGTTTACTTGCAGCTGTAAAGAATATTGTAAATATTGAAAATGATAGCCAAGGTGGACAGGAGTGACTTTAGTTTCACAATAGACACAATAGACAATTCAGACTTTATACCTGAAAAGTTGTTGGCCCTCAAACAAAAAAAACACACATCAGGCCTAGTCTTTTACTAATTGATAAAAAAACATTTGTGTCTGGTGGAAGCATTATATTGAAGAGATGGCAGAAGAGACTGTCAACAACATGCAGAAACAGAACATGCCAAAGAGGTCCGCTGTGTTAAAAAGCGTAAAACAGGACAACAACTGTCAATTGAATCTTGCCTAGTTGCAAATACAGTGCATGACCCTTCAGACAAATTCTACGGTGATGATGAGGATGACAATTTCCATATACAGTAGTTAGAACACAACTTTAGGTTCAATATATTGGGCATTACTGTTCAATGTATGTATGTATACTGTATATATCCATTACTCTTTTGATATTACATGTTACAAACTATTCCATAGATTTTATTTTTTGCCCCCCCCTTTATGTTCAAAATATTTTCTGCCCCCCCCCCCCACTTCAATGGTTAAAACTTTTTGTGGCCCCTCTAAATTTCCTCCGGCCCCCTACCCGGCATTAATAATGACTGGTCCCTTACTGAGCTAGTGAATTTGTATATTATATATTATATATTATTAAATTTGTCACAAATATTTACAATGACACTGATAAACAATATACATAACAAGCTACAAGACAACACATGTGACTGGAATGTGGAACAGGACTTACGTCCCAATTAATACCTCACCCCATATATACTTCATAGGCACTTTCTCGGTGTGAGAACAAACACAAGCTTAACACTAATCTGAACTTGATCGTTATATAAATTCTAACTGATTTATGGTTGTTCGTACACCGAGCTAGTGGGTGAACTTTACTGAACTGAACTAAATACTTAGTACTTATATTACAAACATTTTCTTCACAAAACTAAATATTAGCTACGATTATTAGGAAGTTTGTATGATTTGATTGCATTTCAGGGCTCTGAGAGGCCTCAGATTTAAAATCTTCTGGGTAAGCGTGCCCCCAGACCCGCTAACAGGCTCATGCCTTTGGCAGCTCCCTCACTGACCCACCCACCAATTTCTTGATGACACAATTGATTGTTTCCCGGCCACTTCTGTTTCAGTCTGGCTATGCCACTGCTCACAACATCAAATTTAACAGTTTCAGGACTATTAAAATCAGGAGTTTTGTTTATATGACAAAATCGGACAAGTCAATTTATTGTATGCGGACCATTAACAGTTGACTTGTTAACAGTTGACTTGTTAACAGTACACGACTATATGTTGATGTCATATAACAAGTGAATCCAGTGTAGTGGCCCTGGCTATTTTGCCCTCGTTGCTCCCCTCTCTGGCCTTGTGCTTAATTTCACCGGAAAAATCTGTGTAAGACAGATCGCCAGGGCTAAAACAAAACAGTAAGTCTTATGACCACAAATTTTACAAGGTTTTTTTATGACTTTAATGTCCAATATTGAAATTAAAAAAATTTTGTACTATCCATCCCATGAATCTTACCTGTGAAACGAATTACTCGTCCTTTTATGTAAAGTAAAGTAAATTGTTGCATCAGCAAGTGGAGCAAAACGGCACTTTAATTCCTTCCAAGTTGAAAAAAAACCCCAGCAAAATACGAGAAAAATATATTATGTTTTTAATAAAAACACTGCCAAAACCAGGGGCACAGAGTAGATACTGGACAGAGGTGTAACTGTATTACGAAACGCTAATGTTTGAGTGTAACCAAAAGCTTGGCCAGTGCGCTAAGGAGAGGCATTCACCCCCCCAAAAACTTACAAAATGGCGGGCATTTTTTTACTAAAAAGATCGCAAAAAATTGTTTCGAAATCAAGGATATTGTTTGAAATCTCGCTGATTTTTGTTGAATTATTTTTATTTTCAAGTTTGCCTATGGGAAGAGGTAAATCTGGGAGAGATTTGCAGTTTCTTTTTCTTTTTTTTCAACAAAATTGTTTTCATATGAGCGGGAATTGTAAATATTTTGCCATGTTTTGGTTTATGGGCTTAGCCTGCTTGGCTAGTTTAGCTTTAATATACCTGTAAATTTGTGTAAAATATCGTGGATCTTTTGTGGAAAGGAAGAAACTTTGCTTGACAAAGAATTTGGTTGACAAAAGGCAAAAGTTTTCTTAATTTAAGGTACGGTGTGAATCTTTTGACTATTATTAAAAAACTTAATAACACATTCGTGCTATTTTTTGCTATTTGTCTGATAGTCAGGAATTAAGAGTGCAGGGGGTTACATTAGCAATTGTCATGTGAATTCAGAATATAGTTAATGACTTAATCTGTTTTTACAACTTTTTACTGATATTTTACAGTTGTATACTTGTATGTACTGTAGTTCACTAAGTTCAGTAGTTCCGTTTATAAGCATTCAGCTCAATCAGCTGTGTCTGATTTATATATTTTGTCTGTTATTTATATATTTTGTTGCTATTTTGGCTGTAGTAACACTGTTGTTTGTGAATGCTAATAATAATTGGAATTTAAAGGGAAATGGCAATATATTTTTTTATTTTCTTGTTTGAAAGAACATTTAAAACCATATATAAAACTCTTTTACCGTTTTTTCATATCTTGCTTACTTCTACAAATATTTTAATCGAAAGAAATGAAATGTCCGCCATCTTGGATTTTTGTAGATATGCATGTTACGTCACAACAGGGGTCACGCAATATTTTTATCTAGACAACCACTAATCATTTTGCACTCAAAATTATACACTGTCTGCCCTTGTAAATATCAAGATCACTTGAAACCTTTAAAACATCTACCAATCAATATTTGGTCAGCAACGAATGCTTTTATATGGTTAATCCCTGTTGTGACGTCACCAAAACTACCGTTAATGAGATCAAAAATTTATCCAAGATGGCTGACATCTCATTATTTCAAGTGAAAATATTTCAAGAACTAAGCAAGATATGAAGAATCGGTATAAGAAGTTATTAAATAGTTTCAAAAGTTCTTTCAAATGAGAAAATAAAAAAATATATTGCCATTTCCCTTTAACAGATGCTTAGTTTATTTTATTGTATGTATGAAATAATATAGTGACATTCTTTTCCAAAATAATTTCTATATGCACCAATCATGTTAAGCATGCACCTAGATGGGAGGACAGGCTACCCGTGGCTTTGTAGTAGACTAATCAAGTAATAAGTAATGCCTGCCCAAGACACAACATTTTTGACAAAAATTTTTCCCATTTGTAGACTGGGTGAGTTATGATGAAGAAGCAAATGATGATTGGCAAATTTGATAAAAAAAACAAATATTTTTCAGTATTTAAGTAGTGATTTTGGGTGAAGACCTTCAAAACATCCTGGAGTTTCCAAAAATAATGTTTTTCATTGGCTCCCCTGGAAATATTTTCCATGAGATTTTTGCAACCAGCTCCCTAGAAATGCATAATACAGTTTTTAAGCCAAATATTTGGGTGACAACATTCCTTTGCAATGGATTTTTCTGTCCCTCTTTAAGAAGTTCCAAGGTCTTCACCCCTGGGTGTATTGATTAAAAATGCTAGCAAGATTGTTGGTCAACCTTTTATTTTTGTACTCAAAATTTTCCCCATGTGCATATAGGCATACCAGATAACTTCAGCCTGTACATGCATGGGTTGAGGCTGAATTAATGGTTGAATAAACATTGGACATTTTCACTGACACTGTTAAAATTCTTGAGCCATATGCACCATAGAAGCAACTAATAATGTGTGAGTGTGACAATTTCACTTCCCCTGGAGGTAGAAGTGAGGCTATACTTATTTATTAACTTTACAATCATGCAAAAAATATAACAATGATTGAAGGTATGGTCAACAGGACATGAGTCCCATGTAAAGACCAACCTGATACAATACAATAAGTAGACATACATTAAAGACAAGGACTAGAACACTATTTACATAGCTATATAAAAATTAATAGTTTAGATATATACGCCTGAGTGTCAGAGGTGAATCTATAGATTCAGGTTTTTGTTTCCTGTAATGTAGGTAATAATAAGCCATTGGATTCTACATCAGCTGCATGTAAAGGCCCTCCTGAAGAATTTTTCCAGCCTCCCAACTGTTTACCTCCAGTTTTTTGAGCATAGATTATCCTACATGTATCAGTGTTAAGCCCCGGAATGTCAGACAAATAATGGTAAAATATGAACATTTGATAAATGTGGATATATTGAAAAGACTGAAAAATACACTGTTTACATCAATTGATTGAATGTTATATTTTTCTTCGATTTCTACAATTCAATGTTATCTGCTGTTATAAATCATATTCTATTTTTGCCTCCTTTGCAGGCAACTCTGTATTGTTTTGGATAACAGGTTTTTAACTCTTATTTGTTTTGTATTGTAAATGCATTTTGTAAATGATCAAACTTTGGCCAAGCTTCAAGCAAAATAGTTTTAGGCCTGGGGAAAGCAAAACATGGGAGGAAAAAATCCCAAATATAAAACCTATTATACAAAACAATACAGAGTTGCCTGTGGAAGAGGCTAATTCTACTTAAATATTAACCCAGAACTCTCCCTTTGACAAGTAAAATCATCTTGCATTAGACAGAAAATGATAACATAGGGTGCAATGTGACTCAATGGGTTAACTAGACATGTACGTACATCATGGGCAGATAGACGAGTTAACCCACTAAGTGCCAGCACTCTCCCCTTGACGAGTAAAATTGTATAGCATTCGCACTCTCCCCTTGACGAGTAAAATTGTATAGCATTAGACAGAGTAAAATAATCTGGCGTTAGACAGAGTAAAATAATAAAGTAGGGTGCATCAGTGCACAATGCGACTCAATGGGTTAGAGATGAACAGACGGTCAAGTCTGTTCTGCACATATGTACCTTCTGATGTAAACAATTGGTAACATCAAGGTGTTATACATAGGGTTATACAAGGGTTATACATGGTGGTCAACATTACATGTATCAACACTAATGACTTGGAGAGTGAGCAAATGAGGCTAAATTGCATGTATTCACCAGCAAACACAAAGTCAAGACATATAGTGAACAATTTACTCACACCGGTAACTGTGTTTCCTTTTAGAGTTGACCACCATGTGCCGAGATGTTGCATCACAACAAATGAAAGTAAAGAATACCCAACTTTCACATTGTTTCGGCATCTCATTCAGAAACTCTAATCAAAATTCATTTAAAGAATAGCAACCTGAATGATGTTAAATATGAACTATGTACATCATATTTTTTTTAATATAGCGTGTTTGAAATGTAAAAAACCAACATCCCTCACGTTTTATGATTTTTATCACTATTATAAACAGGGTGCCTTATACTGCTATAGTTTCAAAAAGTGAAATCTTGACTGATTTCTGCCTAAGTATTTCACAAAATATTAAATACAACGATATCCAGCTGCGCATAAGTTATTATACCATTTATATTTCTTCTAAATCCTTTAGACATGGCTCACATGAGTATTAATTTCTCGGTAATTTCGGAATTTCAATTTTCCACTCCTACGATGAATAACAGTGCCATATAAATCGGTAGATAATCTTCAAAGGTTTCTCATACCAACACATCTTTCAAGGACGAATTATATAAACATGTTAATAACAACTTTAGTAAAGGAAAACTGTTATGAGCAAAATAATAAGTGTTTCTCGTGGATTTTACTACATCCCGGGCGTTCTTTGTCAGTGGCCGCGATCACAATTAGAATTACCAGCGGTTGAGTTCGCAACTCAATATTCAAACATTTTCAACCAGATAAAAAAAGATTAAAACTTTTTTAAAGCACTTTAGATTTTATGCCGATCCCAAACACTAACCGGCCTAACTTTAAAAGAGTTAAAAAATAGGTACGCAGTGCGTACATGTTGCATGCCATCAAAAGCTAGCGTGAAAACCATAGATATAGGAGATCTAGATTGCTAACGCATACCTAGCGCAGGCGGGGCCTACATGATAAATCCAAGATAGCGGTACAACAGGGCAAAAAGACTATAAATTCTATTACGAAAATCAGGATTTTTGCATTTCTTGCCGTCGCATTGTTTTGAAACTTATTCTGTCAAATTTTATGGTAAAGAGAAACTTACCGCGAGGATTTTGAGCATATATATGATTGAATTGGATGAAAAATCGCAAAATTATCCAGCCATAAAAGTTCGTGTGAAATGGTCAGTATACTGTTGGTCACTTGGAGCGTTTTATTGCCAGAAATACTGTGCTATGTTAACATCTAGCCTTGTGAATGGTGTTTTATACTTGCATCTCTCATCATCATCTGCTCTGTCCTCATAATTATGAAAAATGAACTGTTATGTACCCCCCCCCCCCTCCTTGCTTGTTAGAGAAGTAAACTGATGAGAGCACTGGATGAGGGTCTATCATCTATGGTCTGTTGTAATTTGCTTTTTATGCAAATAGTGAGCAAAAATTAAAGCAAAACTGTACAAGTTACATATATAGTACTATATCAGTACTTAAAAATGATGATGAGAGATGCAAGTATAAAACACCATTCACAAGGCTAGATGTTAACATAGCACAGTATTTCTGGCAATAAAACGCTCCAACTGACCAACTGACCATTTCACACAAACTTTTATCGCTGGATAATTTTGCGATTTTTCATCCAATTCAATCATATATATGCTCAAAATCTTCGCGGTAAGTTTCTCTTTACCATAAAATTTGACCGAATAAGTTTCGAAACAATGCGACGGCAAAAAATGCAAAAATCCTGATTTTCGTAATAGAATCTATAGTATTTTTGCCCTGTTGTACCGCCATCTTGGATTTATCATGTAGGCCCCGCCTGCGCTAGGTATGCGTTAACTAGCAATCTAGATCTCCTATATCTATGGTGAAAACAGACCTACATTCCGCCCGCCCTAAAATTCGCAGGTTGACGGAGCTGTTAGACTTGCTCCAAGTCTCTCTTTCATTGTCATATAGTAGCAATCCACTATAGTGTACATTACATGACGTACTACGGAGGGGCGGAGCGAGAAGGAGAGACTTGTCAACTTCCGAAAATCTCGGTTGAAAACTGAACAGAAAATGCAAGACTTGCTTTAATTGTTTTCCTTCAATTTCTTTCTGTATTATTTACTATAATGGAACTCATGTTATTTACACTGTGCTAGATCAATACATATAAACACTGACAGAAAACAATTAAAGCAAGTTTTGAACCGAGATTTTCCGAAGTTGACAAGTCTCTCTTTCTCGCTCCGCCTCTCAGTGCTACGTCATGTAATGCACACCATAGTGGATCGATATGACAATGAAAGAGAGACTTGGAGCAAGTCTACGGATCCGTCAACCCGCAGATTTTAGGGTGGGCGAAACGTAGGTCTGTTTTCAGGCTAATCAAAACCATGAAACGTTATGACACAGAATACTATACAGAAGTCGATTTCCATTGTTCTTTTTGCGTAAGCACTATTCGTCATGATTGATGATTCGTCACTCAGCAAGTACCGTAAACAGAAGCAGTCCCCCCCCCCCAAGAGGTCGCCCCCCTGGTTATGATGCGCTAGCGCTTATAACGTTTGGTACAACTGGCCTGAAACTTAATATATTGATTCAATAAGTTTAATATCAATATATTTATTGAAAATTGGCTATTATGTCAAAATAAGAAAACTTTAGATTATCACGCGAAAAGGCAATGTTTTTATGAGCAACTGTTCATCGTTAGTTGCAGGCGACGGTAATATAAACAAGGTCAAGGTTTTATCGAAAGCTATTGACTGTTAGATTTCCTTTACTATTTTATAACTAAATAATGTTATTTCCTACAAATTTAGCTTTATTGTAGCCTTATTGAAAGTATAAAAAAAAAACATGGAAACGGTGAATTACTACAGATTGAAAATAATTGTTAGACTACGATTGAAATTATCGACGTAGAATGCTATTTCGTTGTAATTTCAATAGTATTAATGAGAATTTTGTTTGTTATTTTTAATATATTTCATGTTGTTTACAAAATTTACAGTAGTTTTGAAGTTTTGCACACAATATAATCAATGCGAGCACAATAATAACTCCACTTCAGTTTGAGTATTATCACGCTATATTACGCCTGATAAATAATCAGTGCGAGCACAGCGGCTCCAAAATCACAACAAAATAACAGAATATAAAGTAAATATAAAACAGCAAAGCTTTACCTACCTCGATGTATTTTTCTAAGGCGCTCGATTATGTAAATTTTCTGCGAATCTTTGCATTTGCTCGACGAAAACCATAGAAGAAAACGTGCACACGATTCAAAATTTATAATTATGCTTATTGTTATTATGCTCGTCCCACGTGATCTGCCGCAAGTTTCACCACCAACGGACACGAAATTTTAAGCTATATGATAGTTGCATGCCATATATGGGCATGCAACAAAAAGGAAGGAAGAAAAAAATTACCAAAAATTGAGAAAAATAGCTAAATCAGATAATAAATGTTCGGCATCGATCCCGACCCCGACTGCGTTTCACTTTCGGTACGCAGCGCCTTTACCGCTTGAGCTAACGACAAACTTGGTAAAGATAACCGCAAACAAAAGTTTTTATATTGCTACAAAATACGAAATAACTCCCGTCTGTCCAGTCACTTGGTTATTTTTTATTTGAGCTGCTATAAATGTTACTAGCTCATATAAGATATGTGAAATTAGTGCTAAAACATAAACAGGTTTGTCAAAAAATTAAAAGGCAATATGTCTGGATCAAATAAACTGACTAGAAGCAAACTGATATCTTGAAATATAGATTAACATGCTGACAAACTGTTACAGTTTAATCAAGTTATAAATTCACATCGAGTATTATATAATTTATATTTGGCTTTTAAGATGTTTTCTTTCAAACATTGTGATTTCAGGAAACACTCGATGTTATCATCATATACCGCTGATAATACTAATTGTGATCGCGGGCACTGACAAAGAACGCCCGGGATGTAGTAAAATCCGTTTCTCGTGCCGATTATTTTCTGAAACACTCGGGCGCCATCTTGAAATTTGAGTTCGGGGGGGTGAATGCCTCTCTTTAGCGCACTGGCTAAGCTTTTGGCGGCCGGTTACACTTTTTTGGCTGAGTTCCACCTCTGTGTAGTAACGATCCGCTCTACAGTTTCAGATTCAAGTTTCAGATTCATATTCATATTCAGATTTGAATATGAAACGGGGGTACAAAATGTGGAATTGCTCAGTCTCTTTTCACGGAATAAACGTAATTCATCAAGGACATCCATTATCAGACTATTGCGCATTTGACAAAACTATACTTTAATTTTTAGCTCATAACGTGAAGCCAGGAAAAATCGCAGAAACTACACGACCAACGCGTGAATTCTTACTGCGCCATGTTTGTCTTGACCTGTCGACAAACTTTTATTTCGCTTTGTATCGTAAAATACGCGTGTAGTTCCCTAATTTCTGAAAGACATTCATTAGTACACTGTAGTAAATCGTATAAAGCAAACTAGGTCTTAAAAACGTTAGTTGTTTTCTCAGGAAAAATCGCAAATCATAGATCATGAGATACGGCTTTTGTAATCTGAAGCGAACGTCAACAACGCAGCTGAGAGAATAAACACTTCTCACGCGTCGCACGCTTAGTTTGGAATATTCGTCTGCGAAAGACATTCATCTACAACTATCACAAAATGATACAACGCACTTGTTATTTTCAAACAGCTTGTTGTTTCGGCAGGAAAAATCGCAAAGCACAACCAGTGTTGGAATAGAAAATCCGGGTGGGCATTAAGACTATCATCACAGTTCGTTTAGTCTGATATAAGCGATGTTTTGTTTGTCTTCACACTGAATCTTAGCCAGTTGACTGTAAATTATGCTGAAGTTTGAATTATGTCAAAAGCAGCCCAATACCTTTTGCAAAAAAGGTCTTGGAATCGTTTTATGAAAAAACGTTAGGATGTCAGCCCCCCCGGATAGTTTTGTTTAAGATTCAAATTTCATGTAGTTTCAGATTCAGTTTCAGATTCGAGCTGAAACAGCGTTAGTCTGCGTAAATCCTTCAACCACAGCAACTGTATAAAACGGCAGATATAGTGCAAAGAAAGACATTCATCTACATTACTGTGCGCTTCATTCTGTGTGGTTTTTATTGCGATTCAGCAAACCATGTCCGCAGGAAAAATCACAAAAGATTGTTATTTTAGACTGCTCTTGTACATGCAGACATGGCTTGTCAAACAGTTGTTGTTGTATTAGTCCTCATTTTTAATAGATAATGGCGCGTTATCAAACCTTTTCAAGGAGGACATCTTTTAATGCATTAAATCCGATGATATGAAGAAATGTAAGAGTTTGAAACACTTTTGTGTAGCTCAGGAAAAATCGCAAAACACAACAGACGAGTTGTAGATTTTACAACCTGAAGCAAAGGTCAACTGCAAAGTGAACCGAAGAAATGTTTCTCACGCGGCATGTTTTAAATTTGCAAGATTCTTTTGCAAAAGACATTCATCTGCGACTATCATAGAATCTTATAACGCATATTTTATCGTCGAACAACTTGTTGTTTGGGCAGGAAAATTCGCAAAACACAACCTGTGTTGAATTCAAAAATCCGGGCGGGCATTAATGCTTTCCCAAAAGTTCGTTTAGACTGATATACTGACCAAGTATAATTTGTCTTCACAACAAATGTTCACTAGCTGACTAGGAATTGTGATTAAATATTGATATGTTCAAAAACGGCCCTGTACTTTTCGCAGAAAAGGGGTTGGAATCGTGTTAGGGAAGGACGACGGGAATTCAAACACCCCCGGATTTTAATGTTTAAGATTCAAATTTCATGTAGATTCAGATTCAGTTTCAGATTCGAGCTGAAACAGCGTTAGTCTGCGTAAATCCTTCAACCACAGCAACTGTATTAAACCAGCAGATACCGCAAAGAAGGACATTCATCTACATTATTGTGCGCTTCATTCTGTCTGGTTCTTATTGCGATTCGGCAACGCATATGCGCAGGAAAAATCGCAAAAGATTGTTATATTATACGCACTGAGATTGTTATTATGAAATTTGAATCTGAAACAATAAAATCCGGGGGGTTGATATCCTATCGTTCTTCCAAAGAACGATTCCAAGCCCTTTTTCCGCGAGAAATATTTGCCAAATTTACAGTATTTTAAACTTGACCATAATTTACAGTCAACTGGTGAAGATTCACTGCGAAGGCAAACGAAACTTCGCTTATATGAGACTAAATGAACTGTGATGAAAGTTTTAATTCCCGTCCGGATTTTCGATTCCAACAGCGGTTGTGTATTGCGATTTTTCCTGCCAAAACAACAAGCTGTTTGAAAATAACAACTGCGTTGTATCATTTTGTGATAGTTGTAGATGAATGTCTTTCGCAGACGAATATTCCAAAGTGAGCCTGTGACGCGTGAGAAGTGTTTATTCGGCTCAGCTGCGTTAGTTGTTGACGTTCGCTTCAGGTTACAAAAGCCGTATCTCATGATCTATGATTTTCGATTTTTCCTGACAAAACAAGTAACGTTTTTAAGACCTAGTTTTCTTTATACCATTTACTATAGTGTACTAATGAATGTCTTTCAGAAATTAGGGAAATACACGCGTATTTTGCGATACACAGCGAAAAATAATTTTGCCGACAACTTAAGACAAACATGGCGCAGTAAGAAATCACGCGTTGGTCGTGTAGTTTCTGCGATTTTTCCTGGCTTCACATTATGAGCTAAAAACTAAAATATAGTTTTGTCAAATGCACAATTGTCTGAAGATGGATGTCCTTGACGAATTACGTTTATTCCGTGAAAAGAGACAGAGCAATTCCACATTTTATACGCGACAATTGACCCCGTTTCAGATTCAAATCTGAATATGAATCTGAATTTGAATCTGAAACTGGAATCTGAAACTGTAGAGCGGATCGTCTGTGTAGTATATCCTCTGTGCCAGGGGGGTGAAAACGTCGTCTGAAGCTCAGGATCGCGGTTGGTCAGTGGCAATTCTGTGAGAATTACGGACCAGTTGTCATGGAAATGGCGTCAGCAAACGTCAAAATCCGCCATTTTTTTGGCTTCACTTTGATCACTGAACGAAGTACAGGAGCAGGTCCTCCAGTTATTATACAGCTCAGTGGCAGAAACCCTCGCCTTGCTGACAAAACCGTTGTATTTTCCGAACATGAAGTATCTAAAGTAGTTGTCATGGTAACACGATAATTTTTTAAGAATATTCTTACAAATGAAAATCGCCTATAAATATTACTTTTAATTACAAAATTATCAATTCCCAAGATATATGTGTTAGGTATGTAATCCCCGAGCCGGCGGCGCGAAGCGCCGTGCGAGGGTACTAATTCCCCCCGGCTATTTACACCCGGGGAAACGAAAGCATTAGCGGAGTCTAAAGTTCATCAAATATCGCGGGCGTGGGTCCACCAACGATGGGTGGTCATCCTCACTGACCTCAAAAATATGGCGGACTGTCATGAATAGCGGACACTGATTGGTCCAAATTAAAGTTTGCATAAACGACTGCATCACGTCAGCGAAATAGCAAATATTTCTTGATTTGATGATTCATGATTGATAAATTTCTTGCGAATATATTTCATTTTTACTCGCATTTTTGCAATATTTTGTAAATTTCAAAAGCTCTCGGAGAAAGAAACTGCGAAAGAATCGGCTAAAAGAAGGGAGCCGACGTTAACGAAGGTAAGTTTGTTTTAAATATTGATTTTATAATGGCTTTAAAACCCAACGGCCTTTGCGTATATGCAACAACTAAACAAGACAGAATATAATTTAATATTTATTCCCTTTTGTATTATATTGAATTTTTTAAATGAAAAAGAAAGCAAAGTTATTTGCAAGCGAGAATTTGAAATCATTTTATTGCAAACTCAAAGTTTATCGATAAACCATTTTAATAATTAAAGGTAGTCAAGTTAAAGAGCACTTTAAAACGTTTTGCGAAGCGTTTGTTGTTGAATTTTACCTTAAATTGAGGCTTATATTACGTATAATAACATACCTAAGATATATATGTTGGGAAATTAATGATTTTGTAATTAAAAGTGATATTTTTAGGCGATTTCTCATTTGTAAGAATATTCTTAAAAAAATATCGTGTTATGTATCGATCAATTCGAAACTTCTCCCCCCCCCCCCCCAGGCTGACCCCGGGAATTTGAACTTTTTGAAATTTGACTGACCAAATTCTCCACCCTCTGTGCAAAAAATGTCTTCAAATGCCCCACTGTGACAAGAAATTAAGCGTTCAAATGCCCCACCTTCATATGAAAATTATGAAACAGTAAATACAAAAAGTACAAAATATACGGAAATGTTTTCGACAAGATAGCGAAATTCGCGTAAACAGTTTGGATACCTTGTGGAAATTTAACAGTTTTACACGTTATGTAGTACATACCTTCAAATGAAACACATAGATTTTCCATGCCCGTTTCTTTGAGCCAGTTTTTTCACAAAATTGAGGCCGTTTCCCTCGAAATCTGAGAAAACTGTATTTGCCGCCAATACGAAGTATTTTCTGTGCATGCAGGAAGCACGCGAAAACGGGCAACATTTTAAGACTTCCGGTTCAAATTCCCCACCCCGTTATCAAATGCCCCACCACATGGAAGACTTAGAACGTCAAATTCCCTACTCCCTGGAGAAGACTTGAAGTCAAATTCCCGGGGTATGCCCGGGGGGGGGATGGTGAAGTTTCGAATTGATCGATACATTACCATGACAACTATTTTAGAACTTCATGTTCGGAACATACAATGGTTTTGTCAGCAAGGCGAGGGTTTCTGCATGCATGTATTTTCTAGTGCAAACTTTAAATTGAACCAATCAGTGTCCGTTGTTCATGACAGTCCGCCATATTTTTGAGATCAGTGAGGATGACCACCCATCGTTGGTGACCGACGCCCGCGCTCATTGATGAACTTTAGACTTCGCTAATGCTTTCGTTTCCCCGGGTGTAAATAGCCGGGGGGAATTAGTACCCTCGCACGGCGCTTCGCGCCGCCGGCTCGGGGACTAGTCTCCATATTGGACAAACAAACCCCTTCTACAAATTAGTTATAAAGTTATCGAGTATAGATGCCAAAAAATCTTAATATTTTCTCAATCTTTATTTTATAAAGGAAACGGACGATCAACCATGCCTTACTTTCAAGGCTTATTTGAAAAACGCTGCTTAACCATAGGCGCCCCAACTCAGCTTTCATTCTTTACCACGGCCTTCTCAATTCTCTTCACGATCCTGAATGTCCCTGGTAACTTCTTAGTGATCCTAGCTGTAGCTAAAGATCCCTATAAGAACTTACGTACCCCTTTCAACTACCTGATGGCAAATCTCGCACTCGCAGATTTAATTGTGGGGACAGTGACCGATCCTATGTCCATATACAACCATTGGAAAGAAGGCATCAATGCTAAGCTGTTAAAACGCGAGGTCCAGATCTTCCATATGTCTTACTTCATATCCTGTACAGCTTCAGTTCTCAGCTTGGCGACATTAGCCGTGGAGAGATATTTGGCTATCAGCAATCCACACACCTATAGGAACAGGTAATGGTGATATTAGTATAAGTATAGTACAGTAGAACTCCGCTAACTCCAACTCCCAAGGGAAGCGAAAAAGTATTCGAGAAAGTGACTGGGGTCGGTGTTGGATTTTGTTTATGATATTAATAATTAGTAAGATATAGTCGTTTTATTATTCATCACAATTGTGAGCTATTACGGTGCACTCTATAAAATGTGAACCCGCTATATTTGACCAATGGAAAATGAAATTTTGTTCGACGTCATAGCGAGGAGTTTGAGTTAAGCGAGTTCGAGTTAGGTTTCTATTGTAGTATGATGCCCAGTGCAATTCGGAAAGAACATACACGAGTGAGTTTTTCAACCGAAAACAATTAAATTGAGTCGGAAGAAAGTAAGGACGAATGCACTTTGAAAACGAGTGTGTGTTTCGAATAGAGTAATTGTCAGGTTTAGTATTAATGTTACGATTAAGATTGTGTTGAAATTGGGTTTTCAATGCAAAAATATTCCAACTGATAAATTAGGTTGATAAATGAGAAGGCTGGTAAATGTTTTCTGTTTTAGGTTCACGACTAAGCGTGTATTCGCGACAGCTGGATGTATTTGGCTCGTCTCATTCACCATCCCTTTCATTTACTTCGAAGTAGGCACCGTCACATACGCCTTCATATTTGCCAATACTGCAATCGTGCTCGCGATCGCTATAACGTGTTTCACGTTTGGGTTAATGATACGTGCATTTCAACACCGCGCACGGAGTGATGCCCCAATCGCAATCACGAATCATAATGTGGAACACGAAAACTCGACAACGCACGCTGTAGGACGTAACGCCCAAAGTCAAACCGCCGCTAAATGGGAACGAAAGGTAACCAAAATGTTCTTGGTGGTGTTACTTGCTCTTCTCTGTTGCTATGGTCCCTCGACGGTGTTTATCTATGCTATGAGCTTTTGTGAAAGCTGTAGTTGCACTGCCCTGCATTGGTTTAGAGATCTTCAGTTTCTGTTTGTCATTATGAATAGCAGTGTGAATTTCTTCTGCTACGCGCTGAGGTCGCGAAGATTCAAGAATGCGTTCGCGCATATCTTGAAGATCAAGAGAATGGGGGAAGCGGAGCCTGTGTCGAACTCTGGTACAAGATTTACACATTGTTCAACCGATCGCATAGACACTCGTATTTAGCGTATGACACTCGTATTTAGCCTCTTATTAGTAAATATCAGAATTTGAGGCGTCTCACCCAATAGAACTAATAGTTGAAATGTTTTGTAGATGGAAATTTCGAATGTAAATTTTATACATTTATTAGACATAACCAAAAGCTCGAAATATTTAGTGTGGTGGTGTTTGGAATATTAGGGGGGTTGTATTTCTCCACCCCTAGGACTGCATTTTACACGTTTTATGAAACAGATTTTGCGTTACATTATACTGTATAGATAGACTGAATCTTCAGTTAAGTACTTGCATGGAATGTTTTATGTAAATACCATAACTCGGTCACTAACCTGTTTCTAGTATTCGAACAAATCAAATCTATACGATCTGGGGTATGTTTTCCACTGGGGAATTTTTAAAATCTAAGGTATTTACAACACAAGGTTTAGCATATTTAAAAAGATATTGACGCATTTGATGATTAAAAAACAAGGCATAGGATTATGCACAAAGCATGGTTCAGACACTAAAATGTCAAGCCGCCCTTGTAAATTCCATTGTCCTTCCAATTTTCGCTTGTATTTTAGTGACTAAAGGACTTTCACATGGAGCCGGGGGGGGGGGTTGGTTGAGTGGCGGAACACCATGGGGGCTGAAGACTGAGGGGTGGCAATCCCAGTTATATTGTTGAAAGGCCTGGATAGGGGATGTTTGTTATGAATCAAATATTTGTACTGCAACCGGGCTCGAAGTATAGCTTTGCACATATGTTTGATATGTTGATTGAAGTGCAGAAAATTTGGCATTTGTCAAGACGAAGCATGTTGGCATCGCAAGCACTTTCCACTGCTTCGGATGCAAAATCATCTGATTTGGACTGCGCGTGATTTATATGCGACAAGAACACCATTCAACCTAATACGCATGATCTGCATGTCACAGATTAACGTCCATTATAATTTCTGTGGATTTTTAGTGACTTGTAGGTTGTAATAATTAATGTAAATTGTTGATGCTCTGCTTCGATTATTTGCAACATTGTGCGGCACTAGCCTGGGTAGCTGCAGGGGAAAATTACTTGTATGCTATTCTATGTAAACACTTGAATCACAGTTAATTTCTTTATATGAAAAAAAGTTCCCCTGATTCCCAGAATCCTCGACTTTTCGTGCAATTCCCACTCTATTCTTTTATAATCTCTATGCTAGAACCAGGAACGAAAAATAACGGAACGAAACGAAGGAAACCAACGGAACAGCCGAAACGAGAAAAACTACCGGAACTTATATTAATATACTGTATTCGTATATTGTATATAATATATTATATTGTATAAAGTACTATATTTTAAAATAAAGAACAAAACATAGACTAAAAGTGTTAATACACTTAATACTTTACGACATTTTACACACGGCACACGACCAAAACCCTAAACTGTAGTATTTTTCAGGACTTGTTGTTTAGAAGATACTACAATACATAAATTAATATTTCCGACACAATAAAAGATTACTAGAATATTGTCGGAAACCACTTGACTCTGTCCATACCATGTGACAATTAGTTTCTGGGCGTTTACTGCTACCGTACCCTGCATGCATAAATTACACGTTCTTTTAACTTTAATAAAGATGAGGTCATCTCTGTTCAGCGCATATGCTATGTGAAGACCCTCTGGTGTAAGGGAAGAAACCTCACATATCGATTTCTTCCACGAGAAACGTCATATGTTCGTTTGGGGGTGGGTTTGCAGCTGTGACGTTTCTCTGTAAATATCATAGAAAACTTCGATAGTTTTTTCGAAAACCTTAACATTTCGAAATCATCTTTGCAGAGTATAGAGAAGAAAACAACTTGATACAAACACCAGTCTATAGGCCTACATTCGTAATACCATACCTGTTCTACACGTATACATTTATTGATTATATATACGCCTTATCAATATTTCATGCAAAAAAAGTTGTTTTGAGAAACGTTGGAAATTTTGAAGTTCATATATATTAACAAAAAAGGATATGTCAGCAGAAGATGACATATTCCTCGCGGAAGCATCGCCAATAGCCGACCGTAGAAAATAGTAGAAAATTACCTTATGTGTACTATACAGTATCGAACAAAATATCGATAACTACGTGTGACGTTTCTAAGGAGGGTGTGGGGGTCTCCAGAGAAACGAACATATGACGTTTCTCATGGACAAAATCGATATGCGAGGCTTCCCTAAACAATACCCATGAAATTTTGCGTTGTTTCGACACCTTTTCAATTGAAACTCCAAGCTATATTAATTTAAAAGCATAGCAAACCAGATCCATGTTGGATATTAATTAACCAAGCACATGATATTTTATGAATATAGTGTGTTTAAAATGTAAACAAACTGCACATCCGCTGAACGAACTTGAGTACTTGACCGCCTCTTTAAATAACCGACACGAAGAGGGCTTTGTCATTTGGCGCTCGCTTTCTACGGCAGCACTGGATACGCGTAAATTTACATTAACAAAGTTTAGAAAACGAGAATTTTAAAAGAAGGTATGTCAAGAAGGAAGGAGAAGTTGTATAAGTAACCTGTTTATATTTTTGCATAATATTGGTATAATATAATATTCTATATGGGCAATATTTGCGAGCGTACAGGAAATGCATGCGACAGCTCAAACTAACTCCTTGATTCATATTTCATAGGAACAAATTTGTATTTTTAAAGCTAAAAACCTTCTCTAGCAACACAGATTCTTTTAGGAAATTAGGTTTGAAGACTTTGTTAATCTGAAAGATGATTTAGAGTACCAACTTCTCATAGGCGTACGAGACAGAGGGGAAACTACCCCCCGCCCCCCCAAACTTTTTCAAAAACCATGGAAATTTGGGCAAATGCTAGGAAAAATCAAGAAAATTCGGGCAGATTTATCAGAAAATATGTTAAAATCAGGTTATTTCATTACAATTCTCCATAAAAATTCGCCGACAAACTTTCAACTCCCCCCGGACAACATCAGTCCCGTACTCCTATGCACTTTCTTAATACTGCGGCAGGCTCACTTTGTACGGTCTGCGCCAGTGTAGAAAGTGCCGATTATAAGGAAATGTCGGATTAGGAGGGATGGAACTACATAAAAAATACAAGAAGAACTTCGATGTTTCGAGTGAAGGTGATGTGCCGGGAAGTTAGTCGAGGAGCCTTCGCTCGAAACGTTGAAATTCTCCTTGTACTTTTCATGTAGTTGCATCCCTGTCAATCTAACGTTTCTTTAGTCTCAGTTTGTAACGGTTCACGAAATTTCATATAATGCTCAACATTATGAAAGCATAGAGGAAATTCAGTGTACTGTCTTAATTGCCACCTTCGTTGGTTTCGCCCCAATTGAGGGCACCGGATGAAATCGTCGGTAAGTGAAGATTTCGAGGAGTGACATCCGCACCATAGATTGCTTTGCGTGTTGTTGTAAAAACTGAGCTTACAAAGGACGTTTAGCTGGAACACCCTTGATATTTGACTACTTTATCATGGTTTTGTGGCTAAGCTATCTACAAAATATTAAAATCACTTGGATTGTGAAAGCCCTCATCAGAGGTTTAGCAGCCAAACTAACTTCTTAGCTAGGGGCTTTCCTTCAAACCGTCAAAATGCTTTTAATTAATCTCTCTGGTGTAGTTCACACAGAAACTACGGTACGTTCCCCATCTTTCTTGGACTGCATAATAGCCGCCAGCTCGGCAATTTGTTTTTGTGCAGTTTTTTTTATCGAAGGGATGCGACCAGTTCTAACCAGGAAGTAGCGCAAGGAACTTGTTTAATGAAGACAATATTCCTGCATCATGATCATCATTTCAACGCAGATGTTTTTATATTTTTTAATGAATGATATTGATTGAATCGGGTTAACATTATTGAACATACGTTATATACCACAGTAACATGTATGATATAATGATTGATACCATGAGTTAATTAAAAAATATTATGCTAGGGTTTTAATCAAAGATGCAATATTGGACCTTTACTTGAAGCGGCTCATTATTTGAAATGACTTAAATTCACACTAATGAAAAGACAGGAGAATGCTTTTTTGCTTAGAATTTTCTTTCAATTTAATTGAATTCTGATTTTTCAAATGTAGAGATTTAATTAAATTAGTGTTTACATCTAAATTTGACAAAGTTTTAAAAACCACAGTTCCGTTACTTAAGAGTTTATTCACTTATATGGCTTCATTCGCTTGATCCCAGATGATATTTTGTAAAGAGAAACGATTATTGTTTTGTATCAGCATGCGGTTGTATGTCCGAATTATTTTCGTAATTAAGTTCCTGTTTTGAAATTTTTGCTCATCCTCCATCGTGTGAAAAGTTCCACGAATACGGAACTGCGTTTTAATATAGATACCACGGTTTAAGAGAGCATGCGGCCAACGATCTTTTGCTTTTTGAGCAGCTAACATTTGGAACAACGTAGAAATTTGAAAGAATGTATCTCATTTAAAGGGCAGTGACACCAATTGTTGACCAAAAATGTCTTTTATTCAAAGTCAGACCTGTGAATTTGAAAATAAACTTTATAAATAGGTTCAGTTATGATATACGAATCATATCAACCATCCAGACTGCTATACATACTTTTGTATTTGTTATTGTTTTATGTTGTGTTTACAGCTATATATTCTTTTTGGATTTTGTGCAAGATTCCTAGGTTTAAAAGACAACTTAAAGAACATATGCTCTCTAATGAGATAACATTTTATCAGAATTTCAGTGTATTAAGAAAATTGAAACTTATTTTCTCTTCTTATTTTGAAAATTATAAATATTGTAGTGTTTATTTTTATTGTAAATTCCTAGTAAGATATAACATTGAAAAAGGTTCTGAAAAACCCTTTGAGGAGAAATCTATTAGAAATCTATCTATACGTATAACTAATCACCGTATTGGACCACTTTATAATAGATACCGAAATTTTAAACCGCGCAGTAATATCCATGAGCCTTCAGATTACCCTGACCCTAACCTTGATTTGAATTTGAATTTATTGAATTAGTTATCAGCTTTACAGTGACAACAGGAGAAAGAAACAGGGCAAAGCCCCAATTGACATTAAACCCCTGATGGCTAAAAAACATGATAGAATATTAAATTAGTGGAATATATTACAGTAATTAGTTTAAAATTAGTTAAGTGCGTCTTTCGTCTAGAAGAATATAAGAATCAAGTTTCATCGTATAATAGTCTGAGATAGCTTTTTTAAAAGTTACCAAGTTTGTTGAACTTTTGATATCTAGTGGTCGTGAGTTCCATGTGGAAACGACACGGTGGAAATAGGAGTATTTTTGGTAATTTTAAGTTGCTCGCTGCGTCTTGTAATTCAGGGAGGAAAAGTTACGGGTAATTACACGATATTGGGCAGAGCACTGTTGTAGGGAGGGATGATCTTGAACTATTAAGCCTAGTCTGTGTTTGAATAAAAGAGTCGTGTCTTTCGAATCTCTTCTATACTCCAAAGGTAACAAGGATAACTTAAGGAGGCGGTGTTTGTAATTGAGATCGTCAGGATAATTTAATATAAATTTTGTAGCCCTGCGTTGCACGTTTTCCAATATCATCTGGTGTTTGATGGTGTATGGTGACCAGAGTTCACTTGCATATTCCATTATGGGGCGTACAATTTGGCAATATAGGAGTTTGCGGGTTTCAGAATCCAGAAAATCCCTGCAATTGGCTCGTTTGGATATCTGAGCGATATGCGAGGACCAGAGCAGCTTGTCATTGATGGAAATTTCCAAGTCAGTGATCTCTTCAACAGTGACCAGTGATTCGTTATTAAGCTGGTAATTCCACACAGTAGGGGATTTCTTTTTGGAGATGTTTAGAGCCTTACATTTGGATGTATTGAAGTCCATATTCCAATCTTTACACCAGTCAGAAAGACAGGAAAGGTCTTCTTGAAGAGCTTCAGAATCCGATAATTTTGAGATGATCTTGTACAGTTTGGAGTCGTCAGCAAATAGGGCAATCACTTGAACGTATTCTTAATGTACTCTGGCAGGTCATCTATATAAACCAAGCCTGGGAACGAGGTTGTATATAAACCAGGAACAAGACTGGCCCTAGAATAGAACCTTGTGGGACACCGGAATAAACTTGAAGACTTTCGGAATATAGTCCTTGCAGGGTAACTCGTTGGTGTCTTCCTGAGAGGCAACTTTTAAACCAAAGTAATAAGTCGCCTGTTATGCCGAAGAGAGGTAATTTTCTGATAAGAGAAGAGTGCGGCACTTTATCAAAAGCTTTGCTAAAGTCCAAATAGATTATGTCCGTTTTTAACCTTCAGCCAGGCTTTCAATGGTATCTTGATAAACCGCAAGAAGTTGAGTAACGGTAGATCTTCCTTTCAAGAAGCCATGTTGCATACGATACAATTGAGGAGATATGTGGGCAAGACAGTGATTGTGAACACACCTTTCCAAAGTTTTTGAGAGGAGACTTAATAGAGAAATAGGTCTGTAATTGTTAACTAGTGATGGATCATCATTTTTTAAAACTGGGGTCACGTCTGCTAACTCCCATCGATCTGGGAACATACCTAATAATAGAGATAGGTTGAATAGGCGGCAAAAAGAGCAAGCGATTAAATTGTGGAACAATTTCCTTGAAAAGTCTGCCCGGGATCTTGTCTGGGCCTGAGGCTTTGCTTGGGTCATTGGTATTTAGTGCGTTTTCTACTTCCGATGCAGTAAGATGTATGTTTGATAACAAGTTTTCTGTGTTTATGCATGTAGGCGAAACCGAGGGGTTTGCATTATCATCGGGCATATTAAATACAGATTTTGAAGTAACAATTGAACAAATCAGCCATGTCTTTAGGCGCAGAAACAAAGCGTTGCCCTTCTCTTAAGAAACAGGGAGATCGGTTTTGATTGGTAATAGTTTAACGTATGACCAGAAACGTTTGGGATTTTCGCGTATTGAGTCTTTAAGTTTTAGAGCAAGAGTTTCTTTTTCTGTTTGATCATTGTCTTAGTGGCACGACACGTCTGCGAAAATCTGATAAAATCTTCAAGACTGCCGGAGTTAGATGCAATAGTTCTGTGTATGTTTTTACGCTTAAGTAGTTTCGGCAACTCGTGATCAAGCCAAGGGTGATTATTAACATTTCTAGCTTTACAAATAGGGATATGCAAATCCACACCTGAGAGAAACATGTCAGTCCAATTAGAAAGAGATTCATTTACGTCATCGTCGACAAAGCATAGATCCCAGGGGACAGTTTCGAGAGTTTGTTTGAGACCTTGCCAATATGCCTTTTTAAAGTTGTAAACACGGCGTTCAGCCTTTAAAGTGCACCTGACCTCAGTTATTTTTTATCATCTCATTCTTAAGAACCTTTGAAATAATATAATGACTTATTTTGAAGATTTTCGTTTGCTCACTTTGTCTCTGAGTTATTTCAGTTTTATTGATGTGTAAATGTCCGAAATTTACGTCACATATGAATAATGACTGATCAAAGAATGTAAGGTACAGTTAAATATGATGAAATAAAAAGGTTAAATGGTGTTCTGCATAAGTATATTTAATCCTTCCACAAGTCCAAACTTCATTTTAATGAATTAAACTCGATAGTAAATACGATATACAAGCTTTCACTTTAAATCATTATGCATTTGTGACGTAAATTCCGGATATTTGCATACCAAACAAACTGAAATATCTCAGAAACAAAGTGAGCAAACGAAAATCTTCAAAATAAGTCATTATATTATTTCAAAGGTTCTTAAGAATGAGATGATAAAAATAACTGAGGTCAGGTGCACTTTAAAGGCTGAACGCCGTGTTCACAACTTTAAAAAGGCATATAGGAGATATTTCAGTTTGTTTGGTATGCAATAAAAATGCATAATGATTTAAAGTGAAAGCTTGTATATCGTATTTACTATCGAGTTTAATTTATTAAAATGAAGTTTGGACTTGTGGAAGGATTAAATATACTTATGCAGAACACCATTTAGCCTTTTTATTTCATCATATTTAACTGTACCTTACATTCTTTGATCAGTCATTATTCATATGTGACGTAAATTCCGGACATTTACACATCAATAAAACTGAAATAACTCCGAGACAAAGTGAGCAAACGAAAATCTTCAAAATAAGTCATTAAATTATTTCAAAGGTTCTTAAGAATGGGATGATAAAATAATTGAGGTCAGGTGCACTTTAACTTTTTAGCAATTCGTAAATTTATGCAAAATTTGACAAGTTTATGGTCGGTGACTAATATGTCTTGAGAGCCTTGGATGTTAAGGGGATCTGGGGGCAATTAAGCCCGGACAGTACATTTCCAGCCATTTCCCAAATAATTTGGTTTAAAGTAACCGTGTGTATAATGCCTGATGGTAGGCAGAAATATTTCAGGGAAAAATACAGGTCTAACTGAAACATTGGTGAAGATTCTTGCCGAAGACTAATGTATTGTAAGAGAACAATTGCACAAATATGCAACGGTCAAGACGACTGTTACTATGCTTTGAAAATCACAATGGCAAGCTTAATACTGCGCCACTGTAGAAGCCCAAATACTGTCAAAACTGATGTGCTTTTCACCTTTAAAACTAATAAATTTGGTTAAAATTTCAGCGTCATGTCAAATGGAAAAATATATTTCAACCATACATGCAATGATGGCATAGCCAGCTGAACATGTAGTAGTACTACACCAATATCCCAAAACAGGAACGAAAGGGCATATGCGTTCAGCATCATAAAATTATGACTGCAGTCTCCCAAGCTCCCCTCCCCCAGCTTGCGCGTTCCCTGATATCAGGAGTGCTTTGCATTTCCCAACCACGTTGCTGCTTTCCATGCCAGTCTTCTACAAGCAAAAATTGGCACCAAAACCAAAATGGCGGGTTCTCGTTTCAGTGCCTCGAGTCTGGATTTATTTCACTGAATGCTGAAAGAAGAGATCTGAGCGGCAGTGTCAAATTCTTCAAAATTAAAGAAACAGCATTCCAGGAAATAACGTGTTCCATTTTATTTTCAATCAAGATTTACGTAATTTCCGTCAAATGGAAAGCTTCCAACAAGCCTCGCGTTATTTACAAATCACGCTGTAGCGTTCCATTTTGCCACTGGACATTCCGGAAACGCAAACTTTTTCTTTGTCCAAATGGAAAGCGCCCCAGGTCGGTAGTTCAAGTAAACGGCAAACAGCAAAATCGAATTTTCTTGGCATAATTTTCACTTCATTTTCTCACGGTTTCATTCCAGTGTCAATAATGGGAGGCCCTTACAGCGATTCTAGACAGAACATTTTAGAACTGATAAGGTTAGTTTGCCTAGTAGCTTCATCTCTACTGCAGGTTAGGTTTAGTAAATGTATAAAATTCACACTCGCAATTTCCATCTACAAAACCCTTCTACAAATTACATGTAGTTATCGATTGCAGATGGCCAAAAACCTTAATATTTTCTCAATGTTTATTTTATAAAGAAAACAAACGATCCACCATGACTTACTTTCAAGGATTATTTGAAAAACACTGCCAAACGGTAGGCGCTCCCACTCAGCTTTCGTTCTTTACCACAACCTTCTCTCTCCTTTTCATGATCCTAAATGTCCCTGGTAACGTCTTAGTGATCCTAGCTGTAGCTAAAGATCCCTACAAGAAACTACGTACCCCTTTTAACTACCTGATGGCAAATCTTGCACTTGCGGATTTGATCGTGGGGACAGTGACTGATCCTATGTCCATATACATCCATTGGAAAGAAGGCATCAATGCTAAGCTGTTAAAAAGTGAGTATCAGATCCTCCATATGTCTTACTTCATATCCTGTACAGCTTCAGTTCTCAGCTTGGCGACTTTGGCCGTGGAGAGATACTTGGCTATCAGAAATCCACACACCTATAGGAACAGGTAGGCCTAATGATAATATTAGTGTAAGTAATCCGCTAACTCGAACGTCCCAAAGGATTGAAGGGAAGCGAAAAATTGTTTGAGAAAGCGACCGGGGCTCGAGTTAATGGGATCAGTGTTAGATTTCGTTGATGATGTTAATAATTAAAAAGATATGGTCGTTTTTTTATTGTTCGTCACGATTGTGAGCTATTATATACGGTGCACTCTATGATGAACGTGGAAAATTTGTGCAATTGTTATCCAACCTCGTTCCCAGGGCTTTCGTATGAGGACGAGGGGAGAGACCATTCTCGTACTCAGAGTCCTTCTTACCCTCGTCGCACCGCGCGTAAGTAGGGCTCTGGGTACGAGAATGGGGAGAGACGAGAAAGCCCTGGTCTGGGCTGGTCAATTTTGCATTCTGATTGGCTAACACCATATTGTCTAAAAATAACTGAACTTGACAGTTGACAATAACAATTCAACATTTGTATTTTTATGATTCTTGTGTGTACGAGTGTGTTTTACAAAATAATCTTTCAAAGTAAGACGTTTTCCCGACGGCATGATTTACTTTCGCCTCTGCCGGTTACAAAACTCGAAAGCCGTGTCGACGTGAGCTGTGATGTTTCCTTACAAAACAAGAAACGTCTACTATTATTTAAGCTGTAGTTTTCCTTGTACAGTATTTATAATGTAGTGCAGATGTCTGATGAAATACTATGCATGCTATGCGTATTGCATTGTAGTAATATTTTAATTTACAATATCTATACTGACAAATAAAAGCAAGACAAACAATTAAATGAAGCTACTAAATTAATTTAGGCCCTGTTTACTTAATAGCTCTACGCCTAGGCCGATGTAGTCTCTACAAGATTCGTCACGCCACCGAGTTTTACAGTTTCAGAATACCCCGAATACTTGAAAATTGCGACTTGTATATTTCATTAAAGAATATCTTGCCACTCCTTGACGAGTAGCTGTCAAACACTGCCATTTTTGGGTAGTCACGTACGTGACCGGCCCAGACTAGGACTTTCTCGTCTCTCCCCTCGTGCTCATACGAAAGACCTGGGAACGAGGTTGACTGTTACCAATATTAAAAAATCCCCTAACACAGTGTTTAATAGTACAGTACCAGCAGTACCTATGATCTAAATATAGATCAGTAATGATCGAACAAGCTTGTTCAACCTTTCATCACTTTATCGACTTGTATTAAGTCTCTATATATTATATACTGCTTAAATTATGGTTCTCTGAATGAAATCCAAGCTTCCGACCTGTCAATGTGCTATGTTGTGACATTTTGATGTTTGCCGATCCACGTCATAACAATTACAGTTCGAGTTAACGGGGTAAATTTGACCAATGGACATTTTTTCGAGTTAGCGAGAAGTTCGAGTTAAGCGAGTTTGAGTTTGGGTTCGAGTGCATTTCCGAAAGAACACGAGTGAGTTTCTCAACTGAAAACAACTAAATTGAGTCGGTAGAAAGGAAGGACGAGTCAACTTTGAAAACGAGTTTGTGTTTAGAATAGAAATGTGTAATACATGGTCAGGTTTAGGATAATTAAATTGGGTTTTTAATTAATTAATACATACGAACTTTCCAAATGGTAAATGCGACGGTTGGTAAAACTGTTTTCTGTTTTAGGTTCACGACTAAGCGTGTATTCGCGACAGCTGGATGTATTTGGCTCATCTCATTCACCATCCCTTTCATTTACTTCAAACTCGGCGCCATCACATACGCCTTTATATTTGCCAATACTGCAATCGTGCTCGCGATCGCTATAACGTGTTTCACGTTTGGGTTAACGATACGTGCATTTCAACAACGTGCAAGGTGTGATTCGCCGATCACACCCGCGAATCATAATGTGGAACAGGAAGAGTCGACAACACACGCTGTAGGACGTAACGCACAAAGTAAAACCGCCGCTAAATGGGAACGAAAGGTGACCAAAATGTTCTTGGTGGTGTTACTTGCTCTTCTCTGTTGCTATGGTCCCTCGACGGTGTTTATCTATGCTATGAGCTTTTGTGAAAGTTGTAGTTGCACTGCCCTGCATTGGTTGAGAGATCTTCAGTTTCTGTTTGTCATTATGAATAGCAGTGTGAATTTCTTCTGCTACGCACTGAGGTCGCGAAGATTCAGGAATGCGTTCGCGCATATCTTGAAGATCAAGAGAATGGGGGAAGCGGAGCCTGCGTCAAACTCTGGTACAAGATTTACACATTGTTCAAACGATCGCATAAACACTCGTATTTAATTTAATTTAGCGTCTGAAATCTGAACTTAGAGAACTTGAATAATAATAATAATAATTGATTGATGTTTATTGAAACTCTCTTGCAGTATTTACACTGAATTAACAAGTCTAAAGTATTACTCAGACTATTTTTACAAAATGAATGAGTACAAATAACTGTTAAAACTACCTGTAAACCTACAATGCTAAAACTATAACTGTTTTGATGTTAAAGTTCTGCATTTGATTGTGTTTTCAAATAAAACAGTATTACTTTGTCCACTTCGTAGTCTATACCTGCATTCTCTCATCTTATAGGTTTTGGGAGCATAATTAAAAATTCAGGTGATGATCTTCCTTCTGCATTTTAATCATATATTTTTTACATGTTTGAAGTTACCTCGTTTTGGTAAATATCAGGATTTGTGGCATCTCACTCGATAGAACTAATCAGGGCCGCCCAGGGGGGGGGGGGGGAAAGGGGGCAAATTGCCCCGGGCCCCGAGTTGCTGGGGGGCCCTGAAAATTTTTTGTAGGGCCCCAGCCTATTTTGTGTGTTAAATATTTCCGCGCAAAGGACAAGATATCGGTTTTCTTCGACTAATTAACGAATTTTGGCATAAAAAATTAGATAAAGTCCCTCGAAAGCATTTGCAACGTACTTGTGCGGCAAAATTTTGTACTCCGGAAAAATTTTTTTACCCCTAAAATGTACACTGACCGAAAAGATAGGGGCCCCTAAAGAAAAATTTGCCCCGGGCCCCCGCCAACCTCTGGGCGGCCCTGGAACTAATAGTTGAAATGTTTTGTAGATGGATATTTCGAGTGTATATTTTTGTAAATTCATCAACCAGGAGCTCGAATATTGTTGCACAAGAATCTATGGGTTGCACGAATAACTTGTTATGTTATTCGAGTGGGGTTTTCCCTTCTCTTTGTGTAAAACGAAGTACGTTCATTTTAAATAAAAATCAAGTTTAAAGGACAGGCCCTTTTTAAGAATTTGTTATCGTCATCATCATCATCATCATCATCATCATCATCATCATCATCATTATCATCATCATCATCATCATCATCATCATCATCATCATCATCATCATCATCATCATCATCATCATCATCATCATCATCATCATCATCATCACCTCCGTTCTATATATACCGGCCATTTTTTATTATTCTGATGCGGCACGATGGTATATTTAGACCTAGATGATAAATCTAATCTGGTTACGCTTCCGAATGTAAAAAGCTAAGCTACCGCTAAGCTAGGATAAAAAAGCTTTAAAAAAGCTAAAAAGAAGCCATAAGAACACCGAACCGATCCAGGCAGTACAACCAATGAAGGCGACCCCCGTTCACAGAACGGCGAAGAAGAAGACTAAGCCAGCTAGCACAAGAAGACGACGAACCGAGTCCGGCAGTACAACCAACGAAGGCGAACCCCGTTCACAGAACGAGGACGAGGCTAGCTAACCTAGGAAAAAGAAGTTAAAATGAGAAGACCAGCATCTCGCCCTCAATTTGCCCGAGAGTCTTATTGGCCAACCACTGCTTCTCAAACGACCGAATTTGAGAAGGAGAACGACAGCGGCCGGCGACACTTTGAGCAAAAATTTCAATCGCGCAATGATTGCCTTCAGACAATCCGCTTCGGTGCGACGTTTATCCCGGAAGCGGAACTCGTTCCGCGCAACCCACAGGTAGTGCTTCACCAGCTGAAGCATCCAGATGATGACGTGGGGAATGCGCTTACGCCTCGCACGAGAAACACCAAACAACAACTCTTCGACCGTGAAGGGTGTTGCCGAACCATCGTACTGCATCAAGTTGAAATATACCCAGCCGACCAAAATACGGGCGTATCGACACTCAAAGAAGAGATATTCAAGGGTTTCTGCATCGGCACGACAGTGACACTGGAGATCGCTGTTCGCCATCCCAAAGCCGGTGACAAGGCGGGAGGCGGTGTAGATGACACCGTGGGCGATCTTCCAGTTCACGTCGACGACTGCACGATCCAAGGACTGAAGATGGATCTGGTCCCAAGTTTCGGACCAGTGCAGCGGGCCGTACCGAGGCAGAAACTTGCCGAAACAATGGGGCTGGGGAGTGATGCGACGACGGCCGATCACGTACGTCGAGTGCGAGTTGAGTTCCGCAAGAGGTCGAGGCGTGTCGGAAGAGACATCCAACAAGAGAATGCCAGAAACAGCACCACCATCAAATTGGGACCAGGCCCGGACGATGTGCTGGTAAAAAGGAGGAAGAAGGGCAATCAAATTGCGCGGAAAGGTGGAAGTAGAAAACACTTCCACAGGTGTGACGGACAGACACGACATACAAAAGAAACTAAAAAAGGCTTTCCATTTAGCAGGGGTAGGAGCAAAGTAACGTTTTACCCACTGAATGACAAAAGCCTTCGCCTTCAAATCAAAGTCAATGACCCCAAAGCCCCCTTGACTTTTGAGCAAACAAACTGTACGACGGGCAACCAACTCGCGGCGACCCGAACAGAAAAAAACCCCAGGTGGCTTTAACAATGCGCTTCTTGGCCCACTCCGGGATGGTAAACACATGGCACAAGTGCCAGATCTGGGAGAGGGCCAAGGTTTTGATCACTATCGCCTTACCCTGTAGGTAAGTTGATGCCCCTTCCAGGACGACAAGCTCTTCTCGACCTTAGCGACTGGAGCCTCCCAAGTAGCTGTGGAGTAATCGCCAGCACTGATGGTAGCACCCAGCAGCGACAACTCCTTCACCCATTTGATACCGTGCGGGGTGTCCTGACGATCTTTCCAGGCACCTAACCACAAGCCCTTGGACTTGCCACGGTTCAACTTAGCCCCAGACGCCCGTTCGTATTGGGCGTATATGTCGAAGGTGGCCTGCATCGAAGTGTCAGTGGTAGCCGCAATAGATGTGTCGTCGGCATACCCCAAGCACTAGCCTGCGAGCAGGCTCTCTGGGGAAAGAGAGCCTGCAAGGATCCCTATGATGATTCGGTGCATGCGTCCAATATTTGGACGCAGTGCTCTGATTGGTTGATAACTGATTCATATGAAGTGATTGACAAGCTTCCATAAACTTGCATTTCCCGTTTGTAAAACCGAGCAATGCAAAGCTTCGGAATTGCGGCAATGTAGAGATAAAAGTGTCATGTATTTTGATCCTGGTTGACTTTTTACTGTAAATTAATATAGTATTCATATAAAGACGAATACTAAAAGCTTGCATGCTTTATTGTGTCCTTGGCTTATCTGACTCCTAAGCTAAGAATAATTCTTGAGAAAGACTGCACAAATTCGCAAACCGAAACCTAGCGACAAGGCATTATATCGCTTCTCTTTTATGAAACAATATTGAGAATTCTGATAATATTCAGTGCATATTGTGTGTATTAAGCTTGTTTTACAATGTTATACTGACTATTTAATATTTATAAGTATGCGGCGTTAAAATGTACAGTAATTTACTCGTCACTTTGTTTACAATAATTATCACATGCATGTTTACTGCAATTCCACTTTTTGTTGCAAAATTTGAACTATGAACATATTATTAAATTATGTCCAATGTCCATGGTATATCATATATGTCTATGTCTCACCAAAGCCATAAATTTCAGTAAGTTATATTATTACTATACAGGGTGTATAAAAAAAAACGCAACCTCGGAATTTCCTAAGAAATCACTTTACAATTCTTAAGCATAAAAGATTTTAGGCCCCTGGGAATTGAAATCGAATTGCTAATAGATCTTATTACTGTTGTTGTGCATTAAATAAATGCATAAATTTTGCTTTATGCACTCGCGTGTGCAGTAGTTTTGACAGTTATGCTATTTTAAATTCCCAAGCCCCTAAAATCTTTTGTCTTTAAAACAATGTCGATTTCTTGGGAAATTCCGAGGTTGCGCTTTTTTTGATACACCCTGTATATATAGACTGTATACAGTGTATATTATATATTGCAGCACGAAGCAATTCCAAATAACTGAATTAGTTAGCGGGTAATATACAACTTTAAACTTACTGTGCCTACAGGAGAAACACATGCAGATTGTAATAAAAAGTACAACTTGATATATTACTCTGTAAAACCTTAAGCCGTTTTAACTTTTTTAGTATGCCACAGTGGCGGTCTGTATACGAAACTATTAACGAATTTGAAACGAATCGGTTTATGTTTACAATATCGTAGTGTATTCCGGTCTGCGCTGATTGGTTGTTATTAATTGACCTGTGACATCATAATTGAAGGGCGGCACGCAATCATCATAGGGATCCTTGCAGGCTCTCTTTCCCCAGAGAGCCTGCTCGCAGGCTACCCGAGCACTTAAACACCCGATCCGCAACCGGTAGAGGAACACCCTCGATGGCAGGCGAGGCGGTGATGCCTTGTCGAACACCACGAGAAGGCTTAAAAAAAGAAGAAGTCCAGCCGTTAATAACGACGGCCGACTCAACATTGGAATAAAAAAGGGAGATCCATTTGTCGAAATGAATTGCCAAAACCAAAAGTGTGGAGGATGCGTTGGAGAAAAGACCAATCGACCCGATCAAAAGCTTTCTCTTGATCCAACGAGAGAAGAGCAAGGGAGATATCCGCCCAATCGGCATACTCAATAAGGTCACGCATCAACATCAGATTTTCGGAGATGGTACGACCCGGGATACCACACGTTTGGTCGTAACCGACAATTGAGCCAATAACGCCCAAAAGGCGGCCAGAAATAGCCCTAGTTGCAATTTTATAATCCACGTTCAGGAGACTGATAGGGCGGTAATTTTTTGTTTCGAGGCGATCATCCTTCTTATACAAAACAATGATGATGCCCCGACGTTGTGAGGTGGAAAGTTGACCAGTTCAATATGCAAGGTTGACAATTCGAACAAGGTCTGGACCGAGAAGGTCCCAAAAAGAAACGAAGAATTCTATCGGGAATCCATCAGAACCTGGCGTCTTGCCACGGGACATGCCGTGAAGAGCAGCACGACAGTCCGCCTCTGATAACTCCCCTTCACAGGACTCGACCTCCGACTTGTTGAGTGTCCCTATATGTCGTGTGTCGCGTGTCGTGGGTTAAAAGTCTTGTGTCGTGGGTAAAGTCGTGGGTAAAGTCGTGGGTCATAAAATGTGCTAAAAACGCATTTTTTCATATTTTTATTTTTAATATTTTTTTCGTACTTTTTCATTTTATGCGCTAGATAAATACAGGAAAATTTAACGCAACAAATCTTCAGTAATAAAACAATTTCTTATCTTGCTGTTATCTATAGTATAACAAGTATAAATGTTTTCGTTTCGTATAGTCTAATAAGTCTATAAATGTATTGTTTGATGATAAAATGCCCTAAGTTATAGGCTTATAGGATATAGGTTTATCAGCTTTGGAAGTGTAATAGTCCCTATCATGAACATCGCGAATAACTATGTCGATTGCATATGTCTGATGCAAACATATTGAGCTATAAACTCTACGTGGCCAACGCTCGAGCCTCAAATTTTGCTATTTTATCTCCTAGACCTAGTATATGTTCGTGGCCCTTTAAAAGTAGACAAACATTTCATGTGTATTTGGCGTTCGGAAATATTCCATAAATTGCTACGATTTGGGATTTCGCGATTGAAAGCGAAATGATTTGTGCGATGTCGCCATGTCGGGCTATTTGCCAACCGTGCGCGCTAGCCGCTGTTATTTTGACAGAATATGATACCTCTACACTTTTCAGCCGTAATCAATAATGCGCGGATTGTAATCATATACATATCGTTTAATTTAGCTTCAAAAACTTATTTTGTTAAATGTAAAATGCGCAGCATGTTGCGTACATTAATATCAAAGAAAAAAGGTTGACTTTATTAGACTGAAATAAGCAAGATTTCCCGTTATATACATGATTTGTACCGAAGCGGCTTTGCATGTGGTCTGCCTCTGGCAACTATGACACCATTGCGCTCCGCGGGAACCAACACGAATAACATGTATTTTATCAAGTTTTTGAAGCTAAATTAAACGATATGTATATGATTACAATGCGCGCTGAAAATTACGGTTGAAAAGTGTAGAGGTATCATATTCTGTCGAAATAACAGCGGCTAGCGCGCTCGGTTGGCAATTAGCCCGACATCACACAAATCGTTTCGATTCGGTTTTCAATCGGGAAATCCCAAATCGTAGCAATTTATGGAATATTTCCGAACGCCACATACACATGAAATGTTTGTCGACCTTTAAGGGCCACGAACATATACTAGGTCTGGGAGATAAAATAGCAAAATTTGAGGCTCGAGCGTTGGCCACTAATTATACCGAGGCACTGCAGCGTAAAATTTATAGCTCAATAGACAATATGAATTTGTATCAGACATATGCAATCGACATAGTTATTCCCGACGTTCATGATAGGGACTATAACACTTCCAAAGCTAACTGATAAACCTATATCCTATAACTAATTAAGACATTTTATCATCAACTTATATTCTATAGGCTTATAGACTACACGAAACGGGAACAAAATCAAACATTTACTTGTTATACTATAGATAACAGCAAGATAAGAAATTATTTTATTACTGGAGATTTGTTGCGTTAAATTTTCCTGTATTTATCTAATGCATAAATGAAAAAAGTACGAAAAAATATTAAAAATAAAAATATCTTCGTGAAAAAATGCGTTTTTAGCACATTTTATGACCCACGACTTTACCCACGACTTTACCCACGACTTTACCCACGACTTTACCCACGACACACGACTTTTAACCCACGACACGCGACACACGACATATAGGGACACTCCGACTTGTTCAAACGGCGAGTTAAGCGACCCAGCATGATGTCCTGCTCAGATCGATTGCAGACCTCAGCCGTGAACAAACATTGGTAGTAAGAGCGCCATGTCGCCAAGATCTTAAACGGGTCATGGTGAATGAGTCCTGTGTCGGGGACTCGAATACTAGTAATCGCCTGCTTGGCCCGGTGCTTTTTCTCCAAACTTAAAAAGAAAGAAGAGGATGTTTCGCCCTCTTCGGCCCACCGACAGCGTGCACGTACCTGTAAGGCCCTGGCTTCACGAAGATGTATCATCGTTGATAAGTATGAATATCATTACTTACTTTGTAATGCGACAGAAAATTGTAACGTTAGTGCCATTGCCGGAACGAACGAGGCAAACTAGATTATTGACGTGCATGTATGTTTATCTGACTTGTTTTGGTTTTCGGAACGATACGAAGCGGAACGTTTAGTACCGTCATTATTTAGGGGGACAAAAATCTCTGTTCTCTTCATAAAGGAACAAACTAAAGCGGAGCATCTCATTCCTTTTTAGACCGCTTTAGGAACCATTCGTTCGGCTGCGCGAGAAAGGAACAAAAACACGTTCCGATTTTCGGAACTAAATTTTTAAGTTGCAAAAGAACGCGAGATAGGAACAAACATACGTTCCTATTTTCGGAACTAAATTCTAAGGGAATTGCTGAATAAACAACCTTTCCTCAGCACACACTTGAACTCAGTGCTACAGTTGTAAAATATGATTAGATATATATTCGCGATCGGCTGAATTTTTAACACTCTTCTGGTTCGCTATTCTTGTAAATTAATACAGACTAGAGATTCAATTCAAGAAAATTCAAAAGATACGAAATATTAATAACATTCCAACGGTCAACCTCGCAAGCCAGGGTCTTTTACCTGTGCTCGGGCTCCGGCGAAGACCCTGGTTCCCTCTGGTCACGTGAACCCCCAGATTTTAGGGGTAATTCGAATTGCCGCCTCTTTGCCACGTAGGGAGGAGTGGTAGAGGGAATTCAAGAGCGAAAAGCCGAAAACTAAAAAATCAATAACTATGCCTATGGAAAATACGGCCATTTACGCTCTGTATTAACTCATGTTTTGGGTTTTGTCGGTTTTTGTGTTATCTTTTATGAAATATGTCACCGCTTGAAAGCTTTTTACACCTATTTGATATAATTTGCACGGCTGGAGGTCTGTTTTACACCTGGAAGTGGAGCCATTATTTATCAACGCAAAGAAAATAAAGCATTAAAGGTCAAATGCACACTTATACAAAGTCAAAGTACAGTATTCAGTAGCTCTCAAGCTATGGCACAGCGAAAGGAAACTCCAAAAATGATTTATCCGAAGTCCGCTTTGTTTTCGGAATGCAAGTGTCACCTTTGTGGTAGTATTATCGACAAGAAATATTGCAACCGAACCTATTCTTAGAGGTAGCTGAATAGCGAAATAAAAACCTGCTTCGTATCGCAGAATTTGTGAATTGTGAAATTCTTGCGTGTGATGTCCGATCGGATGACGGATTTTCTAATCTTCCTGAATTAACATTAAATTAAAAGAATGGGGGCCAAGAAAACACCCAAGACAGTGACAGAGCGACTGGAGGGATATCTGCAGAAATGATAAACAACTTCGACATAGCTGTAGGAATTAAGTCAAGAAGGCATCCTCTCACAAGCACAAAGTTCAGAGAAAATGTACATGTTATTTTATCTCATCTCTTGGAATTGAAACCATTTGTAATACATGATCACTTTCATGAAAATTTCTTCACAGATATATCATCAGATACATTATAGCAACATTATAGACAAATTGTCGCTGCATTTGATGACTAGCTAAACAATCGCAAGAGGAACATTCACCAAGCACTTATACCAGTGGACACATCAGAACTCAGAAGATAAAGAGGAATGATTATGACTGTGAATACTGTAACACTTGCACGAATAAGCAACAATGATTTGTATGGCTGTAGCATAGGCTACCAAGACTATACCCTAGCTTGAAAGGATTAATAGATGCACAAATCAAATGGCACTTGTTCTATATTATAATGCAGCTATTTCAATGATTAAGGTTAGTGTCACAGACAATAGTTAAATGTACAATTGAACGCTAAAAAAATACTATTTTAACACATCCATAGCCTCATGGGAATACAAATTAAATTGGTATTCATAATATATTTGAGGTGTTAAACTTATTGAAAACTATCATTATCCATTAATCATTTAGCACTCATATTATTGTACATCTAACTATTTTCTGTGTCAACTTTAATTGAAATAGCTATATGGTTACAGTATACTGTATATATACATATATATTCAATTTAGAATTTTGTTCTGGCACTGCTGTATGGGTTTTCGTACTGTCCATGAAGTAAATTGAGTTTATATGATTTCAATTTGTGATTAATTGTGTATTCATTTGGTACCAAGCAAAGTCAAGAGTATTTCACAGACCCAAAATATTTGTCTAATCAGGTAACTGAAATCATTCCCTTTCCATATATAAACTACACTCAACACATAAACATTGTGTTTTGCATACACTACAGCATAAATTGGGTTGCAAATGTCCCTCAAGGCATCAATATCAGCCGTGCTTGTATCTGAATGCTTTTTCGTAAAAGATCTCATCATATCTTTCGGTCAGAATTTGCAACCAACTCAAAGCAAACATGCAAGCCAAGCGATTCCGCTTTTATGTGCCTTCGGTCAAGTTTATATGCTGTGGCAGTCATGCAATAACGACTGGTACGTTATAAAATACAACACACAACTCAGACTACGTTTGGCATCATAGTGAACAAAATTGAGATAACAATATAATGGATGATTGAAAAATAACATGTAGAATTAGTTTTGTCTTTTGATTAATTTCAGCTACATCGCAATCAATCTCTTGGTTGTCACATTTTAATGGCTGCTGAAGAACATTTATTGTATTTATACATGTAAAACCTTTTTAAATTCATATCTATCTAAACGATCTATCTCTGATACTCTGAGTTTATCGCACATAATTTTCCAGCTGGATTGTTTATCAAAGGCGCGTTCGCGATATATTGTAACGAGCAGCATCACTCATTTACACAAACGCCATGAGTTGGACGTTCTTCTAACGCTCTTTTAGCGAAAAGCATCAAAGGCAAAAGCTGGTAAATCAGCGACTCGCCATATTACCGGTTGGAAAAATTGCCAGTATATATATACACGCCAAAGGACAGCTTTTCCAAGCAAATAACCTGCTTGGGCTTCAAAATAGTGTTTGCATACAAAATAATAGAAAACTGCAAACAAATAAGAAAAATTATACATTTTGAATGTTTTTGCATATTACAATTGAAGTCGCTTTCTCATAGCTTTTCTACAGTCACTCCTCGGCTAGGCTTGCAAACACAACATTTAACCGGAAGTTGTAAATTACAACATATCACATTTCAACCACCCTCCCCTAGGACTTCTTGTTGTCATAATTTTTAGGAGGTCACGTGACCAGAGGGAACCAGGGTCTTCGCCGGAGCCCTAGCGCAGGTAAAAGACCCTGGCTTGCGAGGTTGTCCAACGGTCGGGTCCGGACCATTGGAATGTAAGCCTGCGCAGAACGTATGCGCAGAACGGACTTTACATGGTCTTTAACTATTATAACATAGTGAAGAGCAGTAATTTATTTTGTTGTTCTCCATGAAGCCTGGTGGTCTTTCAAGCTTGTTAATTAACTCAACATATATATAATCACGAGTTTCTCTGCAGAAACCTTTTTGATGTTGTTTGTGGTATAGGAGTGGTTTCGTTATCAGTTTTTGATTCGTGCTCGGAACAATGTTCTTGTTTTAACTGTTGAACGAAAGTGGCCATTTCTGCCATTCTGTCAACGAGATCATTGAGAAGTATCGCCCCTCAACCGAGTGAAGGCCGACTCTAGTGACAAGCCGTGGATTACGTCAGAAAATAAATCTCTGATTATAAAGCGACAACGTGCTTTGTCCAGAGAAAACAATATCACCTTTAAACGCTATAGGAACATGGCGAATGCTAAATGTAAAGCAACTCGTAACTCCTACTACAATAGGAACATTGCTGACGTCCAACAATCTTACCCGAAAAAGTGGTGCATGGTCAGCGATAAAAAGGATCGCAGGTCTTTCTTCGTCTAGAAGTACTAAAACGTTGATGTATAAAAATCGTCCCTACCAAGGTGAAGAATTAGCCGACCTGTTCAACGACAAATTTGTTGCTGTTAAGTTGGGTCAACCCTTCCACCACTTGATTGGACTCCGCTTCCCGTTGACATTTATCCATCCGGATTCATCATATCCGTTGAATATACCGAAGCAGCATTACTTTCAACTAATCTCCACTCAGCTGCAGGTCCCGATGAAATGTTGGCGCGGTTTCTTCGTGTTCCACTTTGTGTCCCCACTCTCCTCCATTTTCAATCTGTCCCTCCGTCAAGACTTTGTCCCTTTCTTGTGGAAATCAGCTAACGTTTCATCAATACACAAATCCTCAAATATAAAAATAATCTTAAACTAGAAGAATAAATGTTCACATCATAGACAAAGATCAGTACCAAAGTATGAAGTCTGCTCTGTATAAACTTACGAAGAAGTGGAGAAATGTGTGCAAGATTACCGTTTTACATCTTGTATAAAACATTTTAATTTGATCGCAATAATTTCTCATCCCAAAGACATAGCCCAAAGACTTATCATTAACGTCCTTGTGACTTTATAGAGATAGCGCCAGAACTCAGGATGTTGGAAAGCGATATCTGTACCTTCCAAAAGTTGTAGACAAGATATATGTTGTTAACGTCCAACGTGCTTAAAATTACATAACTCAAAATGATCCAAGCAAAACGATGTTTTGTTGAATGTAGAGACTGGTTCATAGGAATTAGTCATTTTGAGTTATGCAATCGTGTGTCTTCATCCATATGTGTCTTCATCCAACAATGATAAAATTTTTCGTGAAATTAGTAAAGATAAAATAGCAGTCTGTGAGAAAACCGCGGGTGTCTACGGAGCGTGAACTTTTCGGATTTGCCGTCGAACTCAGCGTGTTCGAAAGTGTTATTTCCCGTAAAAATATTTAGTTCTAAGACATTATCTGTAAAAATCGATAGGATGTGATCAGACCTAGATGCAAGGTCGACTTCAAACATCTCGGATTTGTAGTTATTGCAACTCCTAACTGTAATGTAACAGGGTGGGGGTTTAGGAAGCTTCAACTTTAACACCGCGTAAACAGGAAGATGATCGCCTATATAATGGTGGTCATAGTGCCACTCTTGTGTACAAGGTCGGGAGTTGAAAACATTATGACATCAATCAGAAAACTACTAGAAATATACTCATGCAACAACCCTCGCTCACATTTTCCAAAATTGTTTTAACATGAAGTACTTTAATAACACCAACAGGGAACGCAGTCTCGCGTTGCTCGCGTCATGTTAATTAGCCATGGCAAAGAAGAGTAAAGAAATAAAGAGAGTTCACTCAGTTAAAATACAGTATTAAGGACGTCACACGGATTTGCGCAGCTGACGTCATATATCACGCCATCAAAAGCAAATTAAATATTCCAACAAAATTTTAATATGCAGCATCCAGTACGATCGCTGCATTTTCAATACAAAACTAAAACGCAGAAAAAACGCAGTTCGAAATGCAAAAGGTGGCATTTTTAAGATAAAGCCATTTGATTATATCTGGACAAAATTTTTCAACAATTACAGTAAGTGATCTTTTCTATTTACATAAGAAGTACGGTTGAGCTTTGGAAAAACGTTTATTTGATTTTGAAAGATGAAAGAGCTGTATTATGTTATTGTTACTTGTGATTATCCTATAAAGGGAACAAAACTATTTGCCGGGGATATATTTCAGTGGCAAGACTCCCCGCTTGACAATTCTAGTTTGCACTTAATGGGTTAATACCCGGACAATCAAAGATATGGAATTTAAATCAGATCAACACACGTACAGAACTCTCAAAGACTAAAGACATTTTGATTGAGATTTGTTCTTCGCTAGTTTTGTCTCATTAAAAAGTAGATTATGCTCTTACCACAACATTACAAAACGAAATATATCGGAAGTCAATCCTAAACAACGTTCTGAGCTTTCCTCCCGCAGAAACGATACAATACAGTATAGAACATCTCTTTTTGACTTTGTCAACATAAGGTTCTTATCGGACTTCACTCCTTCGAGTATAATTTTTCCTTTTCGCAGCGTAGTGTTTATAGCCCCATTTGTTGTTAAAATGTCCAGCCTAACCCATTTTCTTAAAATTAAAATGAAACAGCAAATCACCCTAATAGTTTCATTATGTGACGTTTTACGACAAGAATTTGGATTTCCCAGTCTATTTCCTTATAAAAATGTCACGGTACTGGCTGGAATGTTACGCATGCGCAGTATGGCCAATTGCGCGTGTGACCTGTTTAGGTCTTGAATGAACTCTCTGTATATACTCCCTCCGTAGCTATGGCAACACGATAATTGTTTTCCAAGTTTTTTTTTCAAAATAGGAAAAACAAATTAATGTTTTACACTTATAACCACAGAACTATCGATTTCTAGCATATACTGAAAGTACAGTAGGTATGTTATTTTGCTTTGTATGGGCTTTATTATACTACAAAATTCAACACGAAAAGCTTTTAAATGTTTGTTGAAATTAACTGCTTTTTGCAGATAAACTCTTCAACTTTTAATATTACTCGTATCTTGTAATGAAAAAATTAAATCCTACAGGTGCTCTTGAAAATAATTTTCTTCTTTCTTTCATAAAAAATTAAAACAAGTTAACTTTCGCATAGAATGAAAAGGAAAGCTGTACATGTTCAAGGCCTTCAGGCGAAAACTGAGTGCGAAAACTGTACAGCAAAGTCATAAAACACATATAAAGTAAAAACAAACTTACCATGCACGTCAGGATTTCTCACACTTTATTTAAAATTTGAAAAAGTTGATTTAGAATTTAACTTAATGTGTAAAAAGATGCCCAAGCTTTCTGTCATGCATGTTTTTTTAATCTTTGCTTCCTTCACTCGTGGCAAAGAGCTATATTTTTAGATCAGTGAGATGACCACCCATGCATAGCCATCCACCCGCGATCATTGATTAACTTTAGACTTCGCTGATGCTTTCCTCTCCTTTCCCCAGGTGTAAATAGCCGAGCGAAATGAGTATTAGAGAGGTTAAGATACCCCGATTCCGGTTTACGGGTACGGGTGATATACACGTACCCGTACCCGTAAATCGGGGAATAACTTGTAACTTAAGAGATCCAAGATACTCCGGCGTGAGAAAACCGATCAGAGAATGGCAACTTTCGCTGTTGAGGTTCGCCATAAATTGTTGAAAACTTTGGCCAGCATACGTGCATTATTTATTTGGGTAAGATGTTGAAAATTTGTGCCATTTAAACGGCCCAAAAATAGTAAACAGAAAATACCCGTACCCGTTTGTCTTTTACGTGTAGACCATGGTTTACCGCGGGGAAACGGGTAGAAATTACGGGTAAAATTGCTGACATAAGCAAAAATTGGTAAACAAAATGGCGATACTCGTACCCGTAAACCGGGGTATCTTAACCTCTCTATTCTCGCCACGGGCTTCGCCCTACGCGCTCCGCGCGTGGCTTGGGGACAAGTTTCAGTTGTCCTAGTTTGTAATGTAACTAGAAATACATGCATGTAGTAACCCCTCGCCAATATTTATCAAACATTAAATTAACATGAAGTATTCAGAAATGGTCAACACTGAACGCAGGTTCGCGCTCAAGTGTTGCCATGACAGCACGATATTCTTAATTTTTTTCATATTTTTGGTACAAAACTGCAAAATAGTTGAAAGATTCGTACTTTTAACTATACAACAATAACTTTTAACTATACAACAATAGGTGTGAGCTTTGACTTAATTAAAAACTTAACTTGAAACGCTTCGTAAAATGTTTTGAAATGTTCATTCAACTAAAATACATTAATTTGCCGATAAACTGATTTTTCTTGATAAAACATAATAAGTTTAATACAATTAAAACAAATTGTTTGGTAATTTCAGTTCAGTCTTCAAATCAATTTGTTCGCCTTTACATTTTAAGATTTTTTCTCAAATTAAACGGTAATTTATGAAACTTAGAGCTTCGTTGTAGAGGAAAACAGTTCATGTTTTTAGGAAAAAATTTAAAGCAACAAAATTCGTAAACATTTAATATCCAAAGCAAACTTGCCGTATGTTTCATGATTTCCCATAGTAAATCAATTCTTCTCATTTCTTCAAACAAAATTGCTTCAAGCTTGTTGTATATGAAACGATTTTCCAAATATATGTCTTTTTTAAAACTGAAATCTTGCTTATCCCACTCTTACAAGCAATCAGCCATATTTTTGAGATCAGTGAGGATGACCACCCCTCAAGATCGTTGGTCACGCCCGCGATAAACTTTAGACTTCGCTAATGCTTTCGTTTCCCCGGGTGTAAATAGCCGGGGGGGGGGGGAATTAGTACCCTTGCCTCGCCTCGGCTAGGGCTTACGCCCGGAAATTATTTAAGGTTTAACTCGGATGTAAAGTTAATCATGACCAGTGCCTTGTTTTCAGAGCATTTTTGTAATAAATTGCAATTAAGATCTCCTAAAACTCTGATAAGTTTATTAAATGCAAGAGTGGTGGTAAAATTAGGTTTTTATTAATAGCCTTTCGAGGCAAAATACCGGACAATCTGGCGGTTATATGTCACAGAAATCCCGAATGATCTTATCTTCTTGCGATTTGTAAAAGGCGGACTCATTCACAATCTCGTTCCCCGAGCCTGCGATCCTCGGGAAGGAACGCAAGCCCCTCTGGGATA